GTCAGTGGCTCAGTGTTAATGAACCAGGATGAAAATCTTTGAGATACACCTTTAATAAACACTTTACATTTGTGAAAGGTTGGAAGCACAATCCAACCACTCTCAAGCTTTAGTATTTGTGGTCACGTATGCTGGGCTCAACAGAAATGACTGCTATTGTTGCCCAATTCAGTTGTCCTCTCCCGCTCTGAACTTCAGATAAGCAGCTAAATATACAGGAGCATCTTGCAAGATCTGGTTCAAACCTTTTCCACAGAACCTATGTATTTCTCTAAAGTCTTCCTTTGCCATTGCTCTGTAACTGTAAAATGATAAAACCTATGTAACAAATAGTAAAAAATAGAACACACACATGCGCATGTCTCAAAAATATTATTTTAGATTAATGTACAGCATCTTAAAGAAAAAAAAAAAAAAACTTTTTTTTTTAGATTTAGATTTTATAGACATTACCCAAAGAATGTACAGTATGATTGCCGGTTGCAGCTCAATAGCTGCAATATTATACAATTGGCAAAGTAAAGTGGTCAGAAAAAATCGGAATTAATGACACCAATACCTTAAAACAATATTACAGTGTATATCAGTAAAATAAAGTGACCTTGTCCCCATCTGGAAAAGAAAAAAACAAAACCATACTAGCAGCAGCCTGGTAAGTATTCTTTTTTTTTTTTTATCTGCTTGGTGGGTGACAACTCCAAATTAAACTCTTACAGTACTGCAGTTGGAGCTGGTATCCAAAACTGATTGTTGAGTGCTTGACCCCCTCTGTGCAATGTGGTTCCACCAGACTGCCTCTACCTCACTAATGTGTTCTATAGTGATGTTGCAGCTGGCGGGTGGAACCACTGTGCACAGGAGGGGCCAGGTATCTAACACGCCCAGAAGGGCCAGATACCAGCAGCAGTGGTGGTAACTCTGTAAGAGAACGACTATTGTAATTGCCACCCCCTCCCCGACAGGTAAGAATTATTACTATTGGTTTACAGCCTGCTGCCACTTTTTTCTTTTTTTTTTCCTACAGACAGCGAATGAGTCACTTTGCTAGAGTAGTTAAGGGACATTTTGTAAAATTTACAAACTTTTGCTGCTGCTTGGATTTTCAGTATTAGATGCAGATAGCTGTAAGGACCAGTGCAATGAAGAAAAGCAGTAGACAGAACAAGGGAAGTGTTAACACATCAATGCTGCACTCGTGACTTTCCATCCAATTACCATTTCCCGTGTGTAAAGTGCATATACTTCAACACTGATAACTGCCCTCACTGGCAGCATTTCTCAACTGTGGTTCTTGCTGGCAACAACCCCTCCATGTTGAAGCATGGCTATACTAAAAAATACTCTTAAAAAAAATAAAAACAAACAACAAATATAGTTTATCAAAGACTAAAACTACATCAGCGATTTTAAAGGTTCCAGTCTGTTACACTTTTTTTTTTTTCAAAAATAATTTGGCAGGAAATTGCTTTTTGTTGCAATTAGGACCTGTCTGTATCCCTGTTGCAGAGTTAGGCCCCTTTCACACAGGGCTGACTCCAATTTGATCAGCAGGGGATCTGTCTACTGATCCCCTGCTGATTGGAGCAGAGTGGGCAGATGACACATTCGCGTTCACTCATTTTATGTAGAGTGGACACTGAAAGAGCCCACTCTGCTCTGTAGGTGGGTGGCTGGGTGTAAAATGGAGCGGTTGTCACTTTACACCGACTGCCCTCCAATTCGATCCACCTAGACCAGGGGTCTGCAACCTTTAAGACATAAAGAGCCACTTGGACCCGTTTCCGAGAGGGAAAAAAAGACTGGGAGCCGCAAAAACCATTGCAACATTTAAAACAAATCCGACACTGCATATATTGCAAAAAACGCTCTGGTCATGAAGGGGGTTTAAGGGCCCAGTAAGCAAAGGGTTAATCAGGGCCACAGTGTATCGTCATAATCACAATCATAGCCTTAGGTCAGTGGTGGGCAACCTTTTTTTTTTCGACTGAGCCAAATCTCTCCAAAACCACGATTGAAATTTATTTTGAGAGAAACATTTTTAAAACTGAAAAACTCCCCCAATAGTACATCCCCCATATAGTAATTCATCCCCCCTATAGTAATTCATCCCCCCATATAGTAGTAATTCATCCCCCCTATAGTAATTCATCCCCCATATAGTAATTCATCCCCCGTAGTAATTCATCCCCCCTATAGTAATTCATCCCCCCTATAGTAATTCATCCCCCCTATAGTAATTCATCCCCCCTATAGTAATTCACCCCCCTATAGTAATTCATCCCCCATAGTAATTCATTCCCCATATTGTGTGAATTCACTTACCTTTGCTCCGCGCGTTCCTCTCGCTGGGTTCCCGCGCCGTTCTGGTCTTCAGGGCGGACTGTGAGAGGAGTTCGTCACGCTGCCCCGCCTACATCCTGACAGCCAATGTTTGCCAGCGGGCGCCCGGCACACAGAAGATCTGCATTAAAAGAGCCGCGGCTTGCCGACCCTATTGCCTGTCACCTGGTGGGCAGTGTGCTCCGGAGCCGCAGGAAAGGTGAAAAAGAGCCGCATGCGGCTCCGGAGCCGCGGGTTGCCGACACCCAACCTAGACGGAGGAGAACGGATCCCCCTTCTGCTTTTTTTTTTTTTTAGTGGATCAGATTGGATATAGGCAGGTGTAAATGGACACAGAAATCATAGAGACGGTCCGTCTGAGTAGGTCAGCCCAAAAAACTTGACAGGCAGACTGATCAGAATGGTCATGTGAAAGGGGCCTTAATCTCATTGCTTGTCTGGTGAAACCGTTGTCAGGAGGACAAATGGTCCTCCTGACATTAAATTAAGGTAAACTTAACCATGGAGAGCAGTAAAAAACCCAACAGGAGTTGAAATTCTCCCCACTTTATCCAACACAATTATGTATTTTCTGAAAACAGAGGTCCTATAGATTAAAATGGTGGCAGTTGCACCTTTTCAGTACTTTAAAAGTGTTTGGGCCACCCGGATTACTTCTACTGGAAGGCGGTCACATTGCAATGCACACTAAATCTGCCCATAGACTGTATATAGGGGTTCAACTTTGGCCAAGTTGTGATTAAGGTATACCTTGTCTGAAGCTGTCACGGGTCATTTGGCTGTCAAATATCAGAATTCTAACAGTCTGTGGAGGCTCCGTCATTTGTCAGCTGAATGACAGGAGGCAGTAGGGTTTAATCTTTACTTGGATAGAAGTCAAGGGCCCAAGTCTAGATTTGAGATCCAATACACTCTACAGGGACTCAGCTCAATCTGAATATTAACATTGGTGCTACAAAGCATCAAAAAGGCGTGCATCACTGGTACCGTAAAAACCTTTTAGACCAAGTCATGTTTGCGTAATAAGAGATAAAGCTGTGGCTAATGTAGATGGAAGCAGGGGCAGACTGACAACTCATGGGGCCCGTGTCCTTGCCCAAACTCAAAAAAGCCTATGAAAAAGGTACCAGGGGCATCTCATGGGGCCCCCTACTGACCCCGGGCCCTCGGGCAGTGCCCCGAGTTTCCAAATGGTCAGTCCGCCCCTGGATGGAAGACAAGTACAGTGAGTAACCTATAATCACATCCTTAATTCCTAGACCCAACAGATTAAAATTCTGAAGCCCACAGCTTTCCTTCACCATATATCAGCCCCTATAAAAGTAGAAGTGAACATCTCCAGCTAGAGGGGAGAAGAAGGGGTGGACCACAGGTTCCAGAACTGGCTGCTCTTTAACTTACCAGTAGCAGATCAAGGGATGAACACATACACCAGGAAAGATGCCAAAGCAAGTCCCAGATGTGGATAACCCCAATCCTAACAATTCAATATTGACAGGTGTATACACTGCTCTAAGTTGGCCTTGTTACTCACCCCCTTTATTTCTTATATGCTTGTAGAGGTTTGCAGCCACAGAGAATTGGAAAAAAGCGAGTAGATGACCATACACTTAATGCACAGAGAATCCCAAAGTTTATTGATATAATTCAGGTATAAAATCATTGCAACATCGCTTTTATCTTTGTGGGGTTGCATCAATAAACTTCAGGATTCTCTATGCATTAAGTATGTGGCCATCCACTTTCCTTTTTCCTACCCTTGATCCTGCAAGCATCCCATTTTGAGAAAAGGAACACAGAGGTTGCACATTTGCAGCCTCCCCCACTACTCTTACTCTTTCTAGCAGTGTGGCCAGATATCAAGTAAATAAAAAAAAATTCTCTTTAAATAAGTCCAAGTGAATGAACAGGTTTTAAAGACAATAAATATCATAAAATATTCATTTGTATTTCTTTAGGAGCATTTAATCAGTAACAAACTACTAAAACTAGCCAGTTTGGCCATCCTGCTTTGCAGTTCAAAATGAAGGTGCCCTTGAAAGTTTGAGAGTACTGAAAACACGCAAAGCAAAAGGACTGTCCAGTGGCAGCAACCTTAGCATATAGTCCTCTCAAACGACATATGCACAAAGCTGAAACTGTGATATTCAAAATAAATACATAATATTTTATGATCAAAGGAAACATGGCACATGATGTGCGTTTCAACTAAACAGCTTCAAAGACATTAGAAAACATTTTCTTTTAGTAATAAAACCCCATAAAGTGGAATAAAGTTATATCATTATGTACATATATATATTTATAAAAAAAACAATATCTGACTACATACGTAAGCAGTTTGACTGTACAAAAACCCTCAAACCTAAAGATTTGGTGGGGAGAGAAAAGGCATACACCACAGAATGATTGTTCCTCCTTTTTCAGTCATCTCAGCAAAACATCACAAGTCCTTGCAATACTTGTATGGTTCCATAACCATTGGGCCGCAGTTCCTACAAATTCCACTTGTAGCTTGGTGTGTAATAAGTCCATTCTTGTGGGCTGTGAAGACTATGCAGGAAGCTGCAGCAGGTTTCCTGTCTTGCAAGCCACTGGAATACCTTGGAATTGAAGCAATATTTCCCCGTATGCATTTAAAAAAATGAATGCAATATGCATCATACTTCAAGAAACAAAGAGGACGGCGATCCTTTGCGCTTCTGAACCCCTTCTTGACTCCGCTCAACTCTTTTAATGATTTCCGATACAATACATACAGAAGACGTCAGTCCTATTAGGAACAGCAAGTCTGAAAAGTAGAACAATGAGATATAATATTGCTAAAACAGTAAATGTAATTAGGCACGTAGTGATTGGCCATTTTGATATACTTAAACCAAAAAATGCTCCAAACATTTTCCCTTTTCATTCTGGAGACCCAATCACAAGAGAAGTGAGAGGAGATCTGTCCAAAGTGATAGGAAACCCCTCTGTCAGAAGTCAGAGGAGTAGATGCCCCTTTGGAGAATTCCCCATCACCACCTACTTCTAGGATTTTTCATCTTTTTGGTCTCTGTGACAAAAGTCACCATGCAAATAGAGAGGATGAATTTACCCGGGAGGAACACAAATAGCATTAAAAACCTAATAGAAGAGAGAGTCAGCACTCAGCCAATTTGACCTCAGGATTTTATTGAGATTATTTTGCAAGAGCAATGTACAACTGTGCAAAGTAAACCATTACACGGCAACATTTTGGGGCCACAACGGACCCCTTTCTCAAGGTGACAAGACAGCTTGTCTGTCACCTTTGGAAAGGGGTCTGAAACTAGGGACACTGTAAAATGAGGCACGAGTAGAGTGGCATAGAGATGAGTTCATCAATCTACTACTTCTCCTTTCACTGTCTAATCACAGGCTTAAGGAGGACAAGACCTGTGGCTAAATCGTTAGCACTTCCACCTGGCAGCACTAGGGTCATTGGTTCATATACCAATAACGGCACCACCTGCTTGGAGTTTGCATGTTCTCCCAGTGCCTGCGTGGGTTTCCTCCGGGTACTCTGGTGTATGTATGAATGTAAGTTAGGGTACTCGGGTTTCCTTCCACACGCCAAAGATATGCTCGTAGGTTAATTGGATCCTGTCTAAATTGGCCCTAGTATGTGTATGTATGAATGTTAGGGACCTTAGACTATATGCCCCATGAGGGTTAGGGATTGGTGAGAATGTACTATACAAAATATGTATATGTAAAAGCGCTGTGTACATTTACGGTGCTGCAGCACAGAAAAACTGGGTATATTGCCGTGCCAGACAGGGCCTATGCTGTGGTGGAGCCAAGTAACTTTAGGACTGGATGAACAAAAGTACACTGACAGGCAAAACAGCTTTCATATATGTATTTCATTTGTGTATTTCGCTGTTTTCCTGGAGTTCAGCTGTTTTTTAATTATTATTATTTAACCACTTGACTACCAGGCACTTTTACCCCCTTCCTGCCCAGACCAATTTTCAGCTTTCACCGCTCTCATACATACTGAGTGACAATTGCGTGGTCATGCAACACTGTACCCAATCTAAATTTTCATCTTTTTTTTTTTTGGTGGTATTTGGGGTTTTTTTTTTTTGCTAAAACTAAAAAAAAGACGAAAAACTTAGGAAAAGAAAAAAAGTTTCTGTTATAAAGTTTTGTAAATAAGTATTTTTTCTCCTGCACTGATAGGTGGCACAGATTAACTGATGGGCACTGACTGCCAGCACTGATGGGACACTATTGGCCGCACTGATGGTGCTACACTGATTACCAGGACAATGATGATCAGTTTAGATGTCCCCCTGAGAAATGCAGCTTACTGGCTCTCCTCACGCCAATAACTGGCATTTCCTATTTACCTGGTGATCAGCTGTTTTTGGACACAGCTGGTCACATGGTAAAAGCAGCTGGGATTGGCCCGCTCCATAGCCATGTGATCAGCTGTGTCCGACAATGTACCTACAATTCACTGAATGCACGTGCTATGCTTCACATGCTCCTTTAAAAAAAAAAAAATAACTGCAAATTGTTTCCAGCAAAAATGTGCATTTATTTATTTATTTTTAATAAAGGTGGACCTAGCCTTTAAATAGAAATACAAATACAGCTTTGATGTGAAAAAGTAAATTTTTTTTCCAATACCTTGGATGCTGAGACTTTCAGTCTGGAAAACTTTCTGTAAAGGTGGGAAATAAATGACGAGTAACTGACCCATGATAGAACCAAGAACTGCATAACAGAACATCTTATTACTGCACAGGCCAATCTCAAAGACAGATTTTGTCTGTGGAAGACAAAAATAACAGCAAAATATAAACCAAAGATTACACTTACAGATAAAAATATATATTATACAGAGAGTCTCTGTGTATCACACACACACACACACACACATATATATATATATATATATATATATATATATATATACACACACACACACACACACACACACACACACCACACACACACACACACATACACACATACATGCATACATACACACAATTTTCTGCTGAGTAGAGGACTCATGAGATTTTTAAGTATTTTTTTCCTTTACTCGTGTTGAGATTATTTTTGGATGTTAAACAAAACAATCTGGAACAGATTTGTGGTGTACACCAAAATATTTTTTTTAATCCCTAAAACCACTAATCTCCACTGTAGCTAAACCCTGCAGTATTTTTAGCACACTGCAGCACAAGCACAGTGACCTGAACAGCATTATAAAGGGATTTCTAGACAGGGTCATGCAGAGACTGCCTGAGATAAATGTATGGTTGTATTGCTTACAATAGAACCAGCACTAACCAGCTTAATGTGGTGGCTGTATTTGTTTTTTTTTTTTAAGGCTTTTTTCACCATTCTATTCACCTGATGATCTAGCCAGTAACACACTTCATGTCTTAGGGTGTCTCCGCTTGGGATGGCAGAGCTGATTACCTTGCTAACAAACAAAATCTGAAGTAGTTACAAAAACAGTTATTTTCTACCTTTTAGGATCAAGGTTTTACATAAATGAATAAAAACTGATCATTGTAAGCACCCCTATCCAATGATTTGTCTCAGCCCTGAAACGGCTACTTTGCCTGGACAACATGGTCTATTAGGGCCTATTCACATAGCTGCAGTGGGTTAGTGTGAGGCAGTTGTCCATTGTAGCTGCAGTAGCTGCTGGTTGGCCAGTAGGGGACTCACAGCCGTGCATCACACAGTTTGCTTCTTTTTTTTTTTCCCCAACCAACTTTGGAAAGGGACACTTAATTTATGTCACTGTACCACAGCACAGCGCGTTGTGCTACTGTAAAGAGCCGTGCGATCCTGTCCTGTACGCTGCGATGAAATAGCGGTTCACCATATACATCCGAAATGCATTGCAGTGTGAATAGGATACAGAGAAAACAACTGTTTCGGTGTATCCTAGCAGTGACCTGCATTCATCCAGAGCAGTAAAATCCAGGTCACCATACTGGGTGAACAGGGTCTTCAAGTAAGTAGAAAATTCAGAGACTTACTGTTTGGATCATCAGGTGAAAATAAAGGGGAAAAAAAAAAAAAGGCATAAAAAGGAAAATGCAGCCACCACATTTAAGGATTTGGTAAGCTACAACAGAATACATATTTGGTTTGGGTTTTGTTTGTGTGCAATAAATGAAAGTAGGCGCTCACCAATTAGTGACACAATTGTGATACCCTCACATAACATAAATAGAAAACATAATATAATTTATCATACACAATTAAAGTGATTAATAGTGAATAGTGGTGCAACAAAATGAAAATTCTCGTACCGAAACCGATACCGAAAATTCAGAAGGTATGTGGCCAAAAACCAAATTGAAACCGAAATGTCTGCGTATGTGGGGGTGAGGAGGCTCCAATTTATTTAGTATTTTTTTCTACTTTCATGTATTTTTTTTTTTTTTTTTTTTTTTTAACTTATGATTTTACTGTTATCACATAGGGGAACAAAAGTCCCCTATGTGATAGCATATGAGTGACAGCCAACTTTGTAGGGGGGAGGAGGTGGAGGAGTAGTGTGTGCAAGGAGGGAGCAGTTTATACAGTGAGGGAGCAGAGCATACAGAGAGGCTCCCTCACTGGTTGTCACTATATGGCAGTGCCGGTTTTTCAATGCAATTGCTGGATTTTTTTTTTCTTCACTATAGCTCACATAATGAGCTGTCACTTTCCCCGGAGCTAAACAAAACTTTATTTCTTTAAGCTCCCAGGAAAGGAACAGCTCGTTATCTGAGCCAAAGTGAAAAAAAAAAAAAAATGCAGCAATTGCATATAAAAACCGGCACTGACATATAGTGACAACCAGTCACTGTATACAATTCTCCCCTCTCCTGCCTTTCTCTGCCCACCACACCCTCCCCCCCTCCTCACATTTGCAGTACACACAGTCCCCTGTACCAGCAAAATCTTTCCTATCTGCACTTTTCGGCCGATCTGTTTTGGTGGCTAAAATTTCGGTGCATCCCTAATAGTGAACCATAGAAAAGTTCTAAAAACCAATAAAAATTTAACAGTTCAAAAAATGTTCAGATCCTGCAACTCCAAAACTGTGTTCCATCACCAAGTGTAGTCAAAATGGGGTCTCACCAGACCAACTCAGCCACAAAGTAGCCAACCAGCTTTTGAAAACAAATCCCAGATGCTTCAGGTGTGATGTACAATCTTGCAGAATCCTTCTGAACACTCCCAATCAAATGGTGTTACACCACCTCTTCTATTCTTAACTATCTCAAAAAAGACAAGAGATAATAATCATGGTGCAGCAACTTCTTTATTAAAATCGTAGTAAGAAATAAAAAATAAATTGCACTCGCATGATAATGGTGCCACAGGGAGCATGGACCCAAACGGCTCACTAGGGGGATCTATTTCTCCACACCGCCGCTCTTCCCACGGCTGGCATGCGTTCCAAAACCCCGGATGTGACGTCAGAGGAACCGGAAATGATGTCAGCGGCTCGAGCCTCAACGCATTTGGTACAGATGGAAGTCTTCAGAAAGCGTGTGGAGCAATAAATCCCCCTAGTGAGCGGTTTGGGTTGGTTCTCCCTGTGGCACCATCATCATGCGAGTGCAATATATTTTATTGCTTACTACAGTTTTAATAAAGTAGTTGCTGCACCATGATTATTCTCTCTGGCCTTTTTCTGAGATAATAATTAAGAATAGAAGAGGTGGTTTAACACCATTTGATTGCGAGTGTTCAGAAGGATTGTACATCAAACCTGAAGCATCTGGGATTTGTTTTCAAAATCTGGTTGGCTACTTTGTGGCAGAGTTGGTCTGGTGAGTCCCCATTTTGGTTACTTTTGGCCTTTTTTTGGACTGTCACATTTTTATTGGTTTTTAGGACTTTTCTATGGTTCTCCATTATTTACTATGTATATGATAACTTATTTTATGTTTTTCTATTTATATTAATATGTGAAGGCATCACAATTGTGTCACTAATTGGTGAGCACCTACTTTAATTTATTGCACACATTTGTCAAACAAAATTCACTTAAAGGGGCAGCTGCCGTTATACATTTTTTGCATATCTTTTATAATTGGTTGATTTTTGGAGCATTATTATGGTATAACTGAATGGTATTGGGTTGGCGCTGTTTCATCTTTTTGATAGTTTTTTTTTGTTTTTTTTAACTTGTATCACTTTACACCATCTGCTTGGTATAACAACAAGAGAGATTCTGCTGATATACAAATCAATAAAAGGTTCATCTTTGCAAAGTTTCATTAGGGTTATGTTTTTGCAAAAAGGACATGAGTATTGCTAAAACGCCACTCTTAGACACGCACAAGTGTCACAGGTAAAAAAAAACACGAGGAATCTACTGTACCTCATGGAGAAACAATACCCAGGATTCTAAGCCTTCCCTAATCATAAATGTAAAAAAAAAAAAAAAAAAAAAAGTTGTGGCTATGCGCGCACGCACGCACGCACGCACGCACGCACACACACACGCACGCACGCACGCACACACACACACACTTTAAACTCAGATGTATTCCAAAGCCTGAATTAAACTGAAGGTGCACCTGCACTGTATACATTTCAGGAAGGTCTCTCACCTGTGACCTTGAACTTAAAGCATTGAACATGTCAAAGAAAACGAAGCACGTGAAGGTCATTGTTGTGTCTCTTGGAGTAATGACATTATCCCGCAACTGTCGAAAAAATATATTAAAATATATTAATATTATTGTTGTTTTTGTGTCTTTGGTATGTTCCTCCCAACCCCACCAATTTTGTCTCTAGCTAGTACAGTCCCTAGCTAGGGACTCACTGCTACACTCTGCGTACAGTCTAGTTTCACTTTCCAAAACAGAAACAGGCGTTGGGGAAGTCATTGTGTAATAACACTTCAATAGGCTGTAAAATATCTTCTGTACTTATCTGAGGTAAGACTACATTACATTCATCTTTTCTGCTGTATCTTACTAAATTGTTAAGCTGTCTGTGGATTCTGCCAAGTCAGCAAGTGGCCATACTGTCCTCTCTGACTGAGGCTGTGGAGATATGTCATTGCATTTCTCGGCATTTGAAACAGAATTGCATCCATGTTTATTTCTTACTTCTTTACAGCATTAATGCTCATTGCAACATCATACAGAGTGAATTATTTGGCAGTTCAGTTTCCTTCCCTTTGAAATGAATGGATCTGAACACAAATGGAACAAAAAGGTGCAGAAAAAGTACCTACAAACCATAGCCCTTACACCTTTCAATATATAATCAATTATCATCACTTGAAATTGTACAATGCACCATCTCAAATTAAATAATTTGCCATTTTTCAGTTTGTGTCATTTTAATTTGTGACCTAAAACTATGAAATTATCTCTGGAAATATTAATAGAAAAAAACTGCAACCCAACTCTAAAGACATCCCTAATTTGTGAAAACATAAATGACAAACCTCTCTCCAGAAGACAAACAATGTTCCGCACACTATGATGATGGAGGAAATCAGAATTTTTATTATCAAGTTTTTGGTCAATATGCTATCCTTCAAGTTTCTCGGTGGTTTTCTAATCACGTCCTTGTCAACAGGCTCTACCCCAAGACTTAAAAACAAGAAAAAACAAAAGTTAGAGTTCATCATTGAGACTGAAACCTGCAACACACAAGGCTAGGTTCACACTGCTGTGATACATTTGTGATCTGAATTTCAGTCCCATTACATAGTACTATTGGATGCAACTTTGTATATTCGATGGGGTCAAAATCACTCTGGAATCGCACCAAATTAGTACAGGAACATTTTCCAAAATGGCTCTGTGATGAGTCGCATTGATGTGAATGGACACCATTGAAAATAATGCAATTTTCCTTGTTATGTCATTCTGTGGGACCCACATCGCATCTGGAATCACACTGATGTGAAACAGGCCTTTCAAATGTGAAATCCAAATTTCCTAATCTGTACTTTATAGACACCATATTCCATATAAGACAGGTAAGCAAATGCGCAAGGTGAATGTAAAATGCAAAAAAATTAAATTCCATCAATAGTAGATCCTTAGTATAATCTGCACTGAATCATATAGATACTGTTAGACAAACCCGCGTGTGACAGATCTGTGATAAACTGTAAAACTGTCTCTTCTCCATTTACAAAATGCCAGGAAATAATCTGACATTGATCTGCACATAAACTATTTGGGACCATTCAGGAATCGATGGTGCCAGCTAGGATAATCCCAAAAAAGTATTCTAATTCTCAGAAGCACAGAGAATGTATTATACCAAGAAACAAGCTGTTCCTTCCTCCTATTAATTTTTTTTATCTACCTAGATGATGGTTATCTCAGGAATACAAAAAAGGTTAACCCCCTTGCGCTGGCACCTCCTGGCCCTTTAGGAGGTTCAGAAGGCGGGAGGCAGGCGGGGTTTTAGGGTCATGTGACCGCCGTGATTCACCGTCACACGATCGGAAAAGGTCCCGATCGCAAGGGGAGATCGGGACCTTTCCGCGAGTCACGGACATATGTGCTGGGAGCACGCTCTCAGCACATACGTATTTTCTAATGGCACGCAAATATGCAACCGCTCGGTGTCAAGGCCCAGACTCCGACAGGCCACATATTTGTGTGCGTTCGGTGTCTAGGAGTTAATTTAGAGGAGGCAACATTAATAATACAGAGCATAAATTGTATGTTCAGATATAGGTGACACTACATGAAGAGTCTGTTTATAAAGGCGATGCTACATGAAAGCAACATCACTATACATATTTTAAAAACAAAACACCCTTGGGTGCCTTAGGCACCTTTTACGCTGGTGTGCTTTTGCCGCCTTTTCCAATAGAAAAAAAAAAAAGGCGACTGATGCGATATCTGAGCCAATGAGGAGGCAGAGAGTCAAGGACAGCAGCCACTCTTGAGCACATTGCTAGATTGGGCTCATGTAAGTATTTGGGGGCCGGAGGGAGAGCTGCATAGTGAAGGGTTTTTTACCTTCATGAATATAATGCCTGAAGATTAAAAACAACTTTCAGCCTTTACATCCCCTTTAAATTCTATGTAACGGTTTTTAACTATGCAGGTTCTTGTATTTTGAAAATTCCTGAATCTTTGGTGCAGTTCTTTAAAAAAATTGCACCAAAAAGGTGCTTTCCACTGTAAATCAATTGGGAATGCATCAAAGACATATCAAAAGGTTTTGGGTTTCTGAGGTTTTTGGTGTGTTTTTTTGAGTACATGTTTATGTTTCACAGGTGCATATGCTGGGAGTCAGGAAAACAAAACTGAATTAAAAGCATGTTAACACATTTTTAGGTGCACTAGTATTAAAGAGCCCTTCTTTATCAAAGTATCCAGCAAAAAAAAACAAAAAACTAAAAAAGACCCTTATTAAAGCCTCTACAATTAATTTAAAGGAAGAGTTTGATTGGTAACTAAAGGATGAATTTTTATTTATTTTTTTATACTTACTTACTCTGTGCAATGGTTTTGCACAGAGCACCCCCGATCGTCCTCTTCTTTGGTCCCACTGCTCCTGGCTCCCCCTCCACTGAGTGCCCGCCATAACAAGCTGCTTGCTACTGGGGCACTCCTGCAGGCTCGCTCCAACATTCTACCCCCCCTTTCAACTGGCGGTGACTGACAATGGCTTCTGCTGTTGTCTCTGAGCCAATGAGGTGGGAGAGAGCCAAGAGAGCTTCTGCTCTCATGCACATCGCTGGATGGAGATCAAGTAGAAGGGGGGGGAGGGGGTTGCAGGGGAGAGCTGCATACTGAAGTTTTTTTTTACCGTAATGCAGAAAATGCATTAAGGTCAAAAACCTTCAGCCTGTAGAACCACTTGTCTACTGGGCACTTTTACCCCCTTCCTGCCCAGGCCAATTTTCAGCTTTCAGCGCTGTTGCACTTTGAATGACAATTGCGCAGTCATGCAACACTGTACCCATATGAAATTTTTAGCATTTTTTTTTTCACACACATAGGAACTTTCTTTTGGTGGAATTTAATCGCCCCTGGGGTTTTTGCACTATAAACAAAAAAAGAGCAAAAGAAAAAAAAAAAAAAAGGTATTTCTTTGTTTCTATTATAAAATTTTGCAATCAGGTAAATTTTCTCCTTCACTGATGTGCGTTGATGAGGCTGCATTGATAGCCAGCACTGATGAGGTGGAACTGGTGGGAATTGAGGAGGCACTGATGATGCTGCACCGATAGGTGGCACTGCTGGGCACTTTTGGGGCTGCACTGATCAGTGCAGATGTCCTCTGTGACACTTGCAGGTTATTGGCAGTACTTTTCTCAAGCTGTGACGGCGTGAGGAAAGTGCTGCCTAAAAACGGAAACTGTGTTTACTTTGTGATCAGCTGTCATGTGGTAAAAGGCAGTTGTGATTGGTCTTTTACCTTGTCATGTGATCAGCTGTGTTTGTAGGACACAGCAATCACAGACAGCGCCGGGTGCGCACCGCTGGGGGTGCGTGTTCGGGGAGGACGTCATATGACACCCTCCCAGTACTAGGCAAACGCGCTGTAGCTGTCACTGGGCGATATTGTGGTTAATTCTCCCATAATGAACATTGAGACAAGGAAGAAAATGATTGGCTAGTATTGACACGTAACAGTTTTTCCTCTAGGCATATGAAGGCTCAGTGTCTCTTTCAGACAGTCCAGTAATAAAAGTCAATCTTACCTTTGGGCAGGAGGACCATCCATTATAATATTAATCCATAATATCTGCATGGCATTGAGAGGGTTGGGGAAATTCATTAAAGTTGCAAGAGATATTAAAGTCAGCGCAGCAATACTCCTAAATGAGAAACACAATATATAGGAAAAGAGTCAAAGGCTGGATTTAAAGAGTAACTAAAGGCAACACTTTTTTTTTTTTTTTACTTTTGGAAACAGTGGAGAGGGATTAGAACACCTATCAGCTTCTACAGCTGTCTGTGTCCCTGTAAGGGAGAATCACTCTTGCTCTTTGACCGGTTTACCATTATTATTGAAAGTGAAAGTAAAAACTCACAAATTTTGGGTTATTCTCAGAAAAAGTAAGAGGTGAAATCTTTCAATGGGAACACTAGTTCTGGTGACCTCGGGGTCTCCAAGGAATTCACTTAACCTCCCTAGCGGTATGATGATTTCCGATTTTTGGTGCTGAAAGCGGTACCATTTTTTTTGCATGGAAATATGTAGTTTTTTATTGTAGCTGTAATTTTTAGGAATAACTCACTGAAATCTGTCCGAACAAGAGTCTAGTAAACATCCCAGGTAGAATAAAACTTGAAACACGAAATCATAAATTACACTGTTCAACAAATTTTTATTTTTTGCCAGTTTTGGAAACAAAAGGATCCATTTCTTAATGAATTTCACATTCTGAGTTCAAATATAACAATGAAATTTGTCAATTGGCTCTAGTTTTTCTGTAAACGGAACGTTTTCTACTATAGGCATAATGACTACATAATGCACAATAATTATATAGATAGATGTCTTTCCACAAATATAAAGCAAGTGATATTGACTACATAACAAAGCCTAAATGGCATAATATATTGCATAGGATTACCAAGAAAAATTATAGCCATAAGCTAAGTTGAATCATTTTAATACTTAGGATTCTCACTAGTTTTGTCTTCAGTTTGTGTCGGTTTTGCATCTCTTGGCTTTTCTCTTCTATTCGAGGAAAGGGCTATCTCTTACAACTGCACGTGACTACACGCTTCAGGTTCTTCCTCACTTGACTCAACCACGAAGGATTCTGGTGCTTTAGGAATTGGTAGCCCCTCTCCATGAGGAACTGGACGTATTGCCGATGGAATATTTGGATAGTGCACAGATAACTTTTTCTTCTTATTTAGCCCTTTTACAATTGGAGGCACCATACAAAAGTAACAATTACTAACATGATCTGTTGGCTCTCTCCAAATCATTGGCACAGCGAAAGGCATAGATGCCTTTTTTCCATTCAACCATTGCTCCAGTGCCGTCCCACAAGAATTGCAGCATATATGTGGTGCCCAGCTCTTGTCCTGGTCTCCTATCTTGCAGCCAAAATACAAGTTGTAGGCTTTCTTAATCATTCCTGTTATCCTCCTTTTTTGTGAGATAAAAGTTATTTCACCGCAGATATAGCAGAAATTATCTGCTTTATTCACACAAGTTCGAGGCATTACTGAGTAGCCTATATAAGCATAAAACGAAATGTAAAGACGCTGTCGAACTACAATCAGCTACAGATACTGCAGCTTTTATGCAGTGAAGTGATGCAATTAAAGGCTAATATTGCATCATCTCAGTATACATGCAATTTTCTATTGGTCACCAGTATCAATTGCGCAATATGCAGCTGAAGTTGCATCATAATTTTGAATGGCTTACGTCATTAGATGGGTGAATATATCATGGAAACTAGAGCCAATCAACATTTTTTAGGGTCATTTTCGTTTTTCAGCACCCCAAAATTATGTAAGATTAGCTAATTTTATGCCCAAAACTTTTTACCTGTTGAACAGTGTTATATTTTAATTAATAATCATAAAAAATAATAATATAATAATAATAAATTTAATACAATAATATAATCAAACCAAAAACACTGACATTTGAAATACAGAGGCAAATTCGCACATCGCTGAGCAAAGTCGCAAAATCGTTTTCAGTGTCTGATGACGAATTTCCCCACAAATCATTATCACTCAATTCTGCAAGTGGTTCTGATTTACTATTGCTGTTCTCTAGCTGGTCTAAAACCGCTTTTGACATAAAGGGACGCTTTTTGGACGCCATGGACTTTTATAAGTTTCCAGGCAGAAAGAACAGTCAAAATGCAGGCAGGGCACAGGACAAAGCAGTAGGGACAAAATATATGTGAAATGCATTGAAACAGCAATGTTTTACTACATAATAATCATTTTTTAAAAAAAGGCACCCGTACGTACCCGACGTCACAGGGACCGGAACATGGAAGCCGGATGCCGGCATCGGCCGGAGGAGATGGCCAGGGACGCTGCAGGGGACACATCACGGGAGCGAAGGACAAGGTAAGCGCTGCAGGGACCCCCTGAGCAATGCCGCATGGTAAGTCCGAGTGTAGCTCGGGGTTACCGCTCTTGGTACTGAAATTTTACCCCGAGCTACACTCGGGAATACCGCCAGGGAGGTTAATTTGCCTGGATTTTCTCCCACTCACTGTTCGGCTATGGGACAGGAAGTGAAGGGAAATTTCCACAATGGGACACAGATGGTGAAACAAAATCTGATGGGGGTTATAAACCCTCCCTTACTAAAATGGAAAAAAAAAAATTATTTTTGTCTATAGTTCTACTTTAATAACTCTGTTTCAGCTGCTAGTCAATAATAGCAGACTACAGATAATGGCAATACAGTCCCTGTGTGTTCTTCAGCACAACAGAAACCATTTTCCCCCCATTTAATAGAGCAGAGCTTATTTTCTATGGAAGAATAACATGGGGTCAGTTTCATCATTTGTACAAGCTGGTGAAGCCAGTACAGAACATTCAAGCTTACACAACACAGGACAAATGATAGTGTAATGGCAGAAATGTCAGACTATTACAAAAACGAACAATGCTCTACTTACGTGCTAAGCTGAAACCGAACAAAGTTTTTAATGTTATTGTAGATTCCTTTCCCTTCTTCAATGGCTGACCTGTAATTACAGTCATTTGACATCCTGTTATTTTCTAGGAAAAGGAATCTCACCATCTGCACTCACTATGTTACAGCAACAAGAAAATGATAGCAGCTGTATTATACATACATGGAAAAGAATCCCTAAACATCTTTGTCAGTTATTTTCATCATAACACATGGCCATCATGAATTACTGTATATGACACAACATAATATTAGAAAATATTGGAAATCAATATTAAAGTGTTACTAAACACACAACAGTAAAATCAGTCTGTATATGCAATAAAGCATGCTTTTTATAGTCACTGTGCAACCTAGGGGGTTAATGCTCTGCATTGTGTAAAAATGATGTTTGGTCCTGTCTTCTCTGATCCTCCCCTGCTTCCAGTGTCCCCCTCTTATCTTCTAAGACATATCGTGTCATGTAGAGACACTCAGCACATTCTCAGTTTGGCGTGTATTGCTAGAGATATTTTTTTTTTCTACTTGGGAGAGTGCATGTGATCAGCACTGGCCAGACAGAGGTCAGGGTTCTGCATCCTCCTAGAGCAGAAAGAAACCACCTCCTACAAGCTTTAACCAGTGCACTGCTGGACACTGTTAGCAGTCACAAGACTGCTCTAACTGCTGATGAGAAAAGATATTTTGCAGATTTAAGAAAATAATTGCATTTCCATGCTCTATGTACTGTGGGAGACCAGACAGAGTGAATGCAGGGTCCTGAGTTTAGTAAAAATTTTAAATTGATTCTAAAGTTAAAACATTTTTTAACTTCACAAATACCGGACACCACTCTTGATTCGGAGCTGTCCCCGCTGGCATCCCCATTTTCGTCCTAAATTCACAGCCTTCACTGAGAACAACGGGAACCATGGGCTCTTGCTATTGTCAGTCAAATTCTGAGGGAGTGAGGGGGATCTATGGACCCACACAGCCAACCTCAGGAGTGTGCCCACATGATTTAATTTTAATTACAAAAAAAAAATGCCTTTACAACTGATGCTTTGCTTCATGGGCAAGGCATAAATTATATTGTGATCCATTCAAGAGAATGAGGCTGTGCCACAACCGCAAGCCAAACTCTAGGATCCTGGGATCAGCGCAGCATTACTATTAAAGAAACAAACAAAAAAAAAAAAAAACACACAGGCATTCATGAGGTGGCATTATTGCCTCCATAATGTACGTCAGCCTCTCCTGTGCGAAAGTTTAAACAAGCCCTAGCAGTTGCTTGAGAGTAAGGCCCTAGTTTATGGTTGCTTGAGAGTAAGGCTAGGCTCACATCTGTGCGGGTGGTGCCACTGAGGATCCGCACAAAAATTTGTGCAGCTGCGCCACCCGCACAGAGAAATGCGGACCCACGGGTGGGTGCAATTAGTTCTAATGGCACGCCACTTGCACTGGAAACTGCAACCGTAATGGAAACCGAGATTCCCGTGCGGGCTGCGTTTACAGAAGAAGTGCAGGGACTTCTTCTCTGCGTGTCATGGGACACGGGAGTCCATTCAAATGAATGGGCTCTCATGCCCGCGCAAAAACAGCCCGCATATATGTGAACCAGGTCTAAAGCAGGGATATTACGGTTTAGAATTACACAGACTTTTTAATAAGGAACAGGCTGCAGCGCTTTCACCATATCTCATGCACTGCCCTTTATTACTGTGCAGTTGCTCGCCACTCCTTACCATACTAAGTAAGAAAATGGAATTTCCACTCACATAATTGTATGGAAATCATCCTCCACCAGGATCATGTCAGCTGCCTCTTTACAGACGTCTGTTCCGGTCTTGCCCATAGCAACCCCAATATCTGCAGCTTTCAGTGCGACAGCATCATTCACTCCATCACCAGTCATGGCAACCACTGCACCAATATTTTGTAGACTCTGGGGGACAATAAAAACAGTTTGTTACACATGACAAGCAAAATCAGTATTTGGCAGCTATTTGCTTAGTCGGGGTACTGTTACATGGGTCAGAACATTGGATAGAAAGTAGTCCCTGCTTCACTGTGACTAATGACAGACCTATCTGAAAGAGAATGGGACTGGTTTTATAGGGCACAGGAACCCACAATTCAAAGAGCAGCACTGCAGTTCACAACTGTAGGATTACTGCAACTCATGTACCAATTCCTATTCAACTCCCCTTCAAAGACTCTGATGAGGTCAGAGATGTAGGGATCATTCTCAATTGTCTGCGAGATTTAAAATATATTACCTGTGTAGTAGAGCATTCAATAAGCAACAAAGTTTGTACACTCATCTATATAGTAATTAAGGATCCTGAAAGTCCTTACTTACCTTTACAATTTTTAACTTGTGCCTTGGGCTGGCTCTGTAGAACACAGACACCTATAAAATAAAACAGAGAGATTTTACATTGAGATTACTTAGTAGTCGGTTATGCTCGGTCTGTACAGATCGAACGCTACAGATTTTACTGTATGAACTTGGCATATAAAAAATATATAATTAAATACTTTGGTTCAATGTGACAGAATACTGACAAAAAATACTGAACAGTGTATTAACACTGATTGTATTTGTGTTTTTAGGGTCCTTACAGACAGGCAGTAATGCTGACCACCCTTTTAAAAAGTGATCCATGGTATAACAATGGCTGGCTGTGTCCAGAAGGCACAACTGCTGCCGCCTGATACCTTTTTGGTTTACTTTTTCTTTTTTTTTTTTTTTTTTTTTAATTGCTGAATGTGCCACAACTAGAAGGCAATCATTTGGCTCATAGTTGTGGTGCAGCTCTTTAATCTCAATTGGCAAGCTCAGCCATGTGACAAGTGATCCATGGTATAACAGCGGCTGGCTGTGTCCAGAAGGCACAACTGCTGCCTCCTGATACCTTTTTGGTTAACTTTTTCTTTTTAATTGCTGAATTTGCCACAACTGAAAGGCAATCGTTTGGCTCACAGTTGTGGTGCAGCTCCTTAATCTCAACGGGCAAGCGTTGACAGGCAGTGCCGCCTGTCAAACTGTACAGTTCAATTCAAAATTGCTCTAGCTGTAAAGCAAAGCATCATGGCCAACGCTCAGCTGTGTGACAGAACCCTTCAAAAGAATAACTACATTTAAAGTGGACATTTACCAACCTTTGGTACTATCTGAGAAAGCTGCTGAATATCCATTGCATCTACTTCTTCTCCAGACAGAGACTGCAAGCCATTGGAGTAAAAGCCCAGACGGCTAGCTGCAACAAAGAGCAACAATGTTCATTAATGCAGTCTTTGTGTTTGCTGAACTACATATTCTATAGATACAGTAATCATATTGTGTCAATACATTCGTAGCATGTGTTTTAAAGCCTGTAAACGCGCAAATTGAGTATAAGACTGAATGGGTAGACATGTCAAGGAAAGGGCTGGGGGGTGTAACAGAGGATAGGCCTATTAGCATCCGCAATCTTTTTAACCCTGTGGGATTTTGGTTAACTCTTCTATCCAGCAACCCCTTAAAGTGGTTGTAAAGGCTAAAGGATGTTTTAGCTTCATGCATTCTATCTCACAGACACACAGATGTGGCTTGGGAGTGAGTATGCTGTTACACAGTTAATATTTATGTTAATGTACATGAGAATTCATATAGTTTATTCTTTGTACCATTTCCTATGGATATTTCTATAGTTAGTTATATGCCCCCACCAGTGGCCTTATTTGGTAATGCATTTGTTTTTCATATTGCCTCCCTGAGATCTATGACACAGTTCCTTTGCATATGAAGCTGCTCCCTTCTTCTTGAGTACAGCACTTCCTGTGTCATGGAGGCAGCTAACAGACCACATGTAACAGGGACACATGTATTCTGCATAGTACGCTACAGAAAGTATCATCTTTTGACCGCATAATACTGGAAACCATTCATTCTGCTGTATCCTGTTTCACATGTACAGAATAAAGCAACTTCTGGTTGAACACAGTATTGGTGAGTTCAGCTATCTGATAAGGATTGCCCACAGTGATTATATCTGCTTATACAGGCTAGGCAGAGAGGTCTCACAAGGATTGCTATCACAACAATCTGAGTCAGAATAGTGAGCATGCATGACTGTCCCCAAACCAAGGGAGTGCCAGTGGGGGACCCAAGAAGAGAAGGAGAGGGGCTGCTCTGTGCAAAGCCAATACAAAGAGCAGGCAAGTATGACATATTTAGTATTTTTTCTTTTAAAAAGATGAATCTTTAAATCAATTTAAGCTAGCCACAGATGATCAAAATTTTGTTCCATCTATGGCCATTCTCATTCCAAAGAACTCGATTCTATGATCAGCTTTTGTAAAACGAGACTATTGGTAAATGTTCATTTGATCAGTGCATGCAGCTAATCAGTGTATTCTGACATGGGAGGAGTCCTTCTGTCAGAATACATCAGAGCAGCAGGGAGGGGGTGTTGGGAATTCTTTCATCCACTTCAAATGTGTGGATGGGGTAATCTTTTTTTTTTTTTTTTTTTGAGCAGTCGACTGGCTGATCAAAAGAATTTGATACATCTTTGGCAAGCTTAAAGGACAAAGGAAAAACAAACATTAAGGCTTGAACATTTTTGAGGATGGATTGGGCTTTCAATTGTATAAAAAGATATAACTATTATAAACTTTAACAGTATTTTTCTTGACAATATCGTGACCCGCCACTGAAACCCAACAAACATTCTCATGCAATTAATGGGTAGGAAAGTTTTTTCCTTCACTGACACGAATGCTGGCAATGACACGAAACGCCAAGAACTGATTTAGGCATTTTGTGTTTGATCCGATTTTTTTTTTTCAGTCTTTTAGAAAGCCTCTACAAAAAGGTACACTATATTTTTCTCCTCATAGACCTTTAAAGGAAAAGGGATACAGGGCAGGCTTCTCAAACAAGTAATCACTTTGACTACTGCAGTGGTCAAGTGATCGTAAGCCCATCCTAATGATTTCCAATACAGTCATGGCCGAAATTGTTGGCACCCTTGATATTTTTCCTGAAAATCAAGTATTTCACACAAAAAAAGGTATTGCATTAACACATGTTTTTGCTATACACATGTTTATTCCCTTTGTATGTATTGGAACAAATATAAAACAGAGGCAGAAAAGCAAATATGACATAATGTCACACAAAACCCCAAAAATGGGCTGGACAAAAGTATTGGCACCCTTAACTTAATATTTGGTTGCACACCCTTTGGAAAACATAACTGAAATCAGTCGCTTCCTATAACCATCAATAAGCTTCTGACACCTCTCACCCGGAATTTTGGACCACTCTTCCTTTGCAAACAGCTCCAGGTCTCTCTTATTGGAAGGACACCTTTTCCCAACAGCAATTTTAAGATCTCTCCCACAGGTGTTCAATGGGATTTAGATCTGGGCTCATTGCTGGCCACTTCAGAACTCTCCAGCGCTTCTTTGCCATCCATTTGAGTGCTTTTTGACGTATGTTTGGGGTCATTGTCCTGCTGGAAGACCCAGGATCTTGGACGCAAACCCAGCTTTCTGACACTGGGCCCTACAGTGCGACCCAAAATCCTTTGGTAATCCTCAGATTTCATGATGCCTTGCACACAGTCAAGGCACCCAGTGCCAGAGGCAGCAAAACAACCCCAAAACATCATTGAACCTCCACCATATTTTACCGTAGGTACTGTGTTTTGTTCTTTGTAGGCCTCATTCCGTTTTCGGTAAACAGTAGAATGATGTGCTTTACCGAAAAGCTCTATCTTGGTCTCATCTGTCCACAAGACGTTTTCCCAGAAGGCTTTTGGCTTACTCAAGTACATTTTGGCAAACTGTAGTCTTGCTTTTTTATGTCTCTGTGTCAGCAGTGGGGTCCTCCTGGGTCTCCTGCCATAGCGTTTCATTTCATTTAAATGTCGACGGATAGTTCGCGCTGACACTGATGCTCCCTGAGCCTGCAGGACAGCTTGAATGTCTTTGGAACATGTTTGGGGCTGCTTATCCACCATCCGGACTATTCTGCGTTGCAATCTTTCATCAATTTTCCTCATCCGTCCACGACCAGGGAGATTAGCTACAGTGCCATGGGTTGCAAACTTCTTGATAATGTTGCGCACTGTGGACAAAGGCAAATCTAGTTCTCTGGAGATGGACTTGTAACCTTGAGATTTGTTGATATTTTGCCACAATTTTGGTTCTCAAGGTCCTCAGACAGTTTCTCGTCTCCTCTTTCTGTTGTCCATGCTTAGTGTGGCACAGACAGACACACAATGCAAAGGTTAAGTGAACGTCTCTCCTTTTTATCTGCTTTCAGGTGTGATTTCTATATTGCCCACACCTGTTACTTGCCCCAGGTGAGTTTACAGGAGCATCACATGCTTGTAACATTCTTATTTATCCGCAGTTGTGAAAGGGTGCCAATACTTTTGTCCAGCCCATTTTTGGAGGTTTGTGTGACATTATGTCGAATTTGCTTTCTTTCCTCCCTTTTTTTTGTTTTGTCCAATACACACAAAGGGAAAAAACATGTGTATAGCAAAACATGTGTTAATGCAATACGTTTTCGTGAGAAATACATGATTTCCTGGAGAAATATCAAGGGTGCCAACAATTTCGGCCATGACTGTAGTTACTCTGAGGCCAGTCTCTATGCTGGGTGCATGCAATCAAATGCGCTCTCAGCATAAACAAAAGGTACGCATACAGTAATGTGACAGCATAGCATAAGGCTATCTTGCTGCCATATACTGTATGCGTACATCTGTGGAAAAGGTTTAAATATTGTACTCAAAAAAGAAAAATATCTACGCTTTCTTTTTTATTTTATGCATTTTATTTTACATAACATCAACATGTTCTGAAGCACTTTGGCACATTCAGTCTTTCACATCAACATTTACAAAGGACTCTTAATGTCTGTACAGTTGTCTCTAAAGCCCCGTACACACGATAAGAATATTGGACGAATGGTCGTCCATTTCTATTTGCATGCCAGTCTCATATCGAAAGTGAAGAGTTTACTAAAGTTACGAAAATTCTTCTACAACAGAAAGAAAATTAACGCTCCCACAGACTGGCCAATTTAGTGTACAATTTTCATCACTATCACTAGGTTTTTGAATGGAAACTGGAGCACTAAGGGTAAACCCAAACACATGTGAAATGATATATGTACAGTGTGCGTGGGCGTGCGCAGCAGCAAATATACAGTGAAGGAAATAAGTATTTGATCCCCTGCTGATTTTGAATGTTTGCCCACTCACAAAGAAATGATCAGTCTAAAAATCAATGGTAGGTGTATTGTAACACAGAGACAGAATAGCAACAAAAAAATTCAAATGAGAAAATAAGTATTTGATCCTCTATCATTCTGCAGGATTTCTGGCTACCAGGTGTCTTTCATACAGATAACAAGCTGAGATTAGAAGCAGTCTCTTAAAGGGAGTGCTGCTAATCTCATTTTGTTACCTGTAAAAAAGACACATGTCCACAGGAGCAATCCAACAGTCAAATTCCAAACTCTCCACCATGGCAAAGACCAAAGAGCTGTCCAAGGATGTCCGGATCAAGATTGTAGACCTACACAAGGCTGGACTGGGCTACCAAACTATCGCTAAGCAGCTCGGGGAGAAGGTGACAACAGTTGGTGCAATCATTCGCAAATGGAAGAAACACAAAACAACTGTCAGTCTCCCTAGGTCTGGTGCACCATGTAAGATCTCACCTCGTGGAGTGTCAATGATCATGAGAACAGTGAGGAATCATCCCAGAACTACACGTGAGGATCTTGTCAATGATCTCCAGGAAGCTGGGACTACAGTCACCAAGAAAACAATTGGTAACACACTACGCCGACAAGGATTGAAATCCTGCAGTGCCCGCAAGGTTCCTCTGCTGAAGAAAGCACATGGCCTAGCCAGTCTCCAGACCTTAATCCAATTGAAAATCCGTGAGGGAGCTGAAAGTTCGAGTTGCCAAACGTCAGCCACCAAACCTTAATGACTTGGAGAGGATCTGCCAAGAGGAGTGGGCCAAAATCCCTCCTGTGTGCAAACCTGGTGGCCAACTACAGTAAACGTCTGACCTCTGTGATTGCCAACAAAGGATTTGCCACCAAGTACTAAGTCATGTTTTGTGAAGGGGATCAAATACTTATTTCCCTCATGAACATGCAAATCAGTGCATAATTTGTTAGACATGCATTCCTTTTTAATTTTGTGTTGCTATTCTGTCTCTCAGTGTTACAATACACCTACCATTCGATTTTTAGACTGATCATTTCTTTGTGAGTGGGCAAACATTCAAAATCAGCAGGGGAGCAAATACTTATTTCATTCACTATACATATCCAGTTTCTTTCATACATAGTACGACAAGGCACCTTTTAGATTAGTTTTAGTTTGACTTTATGAGCCTCATTTCATTCAGAGACTGTACTGAAGGTTTAAATAGGAATACTTGGCTCATACAAATGAGAACATCAGTGTGGATCATAATTTGCTTTGTAAAATAAGCTATCACAGTTATCAGGCACCTGGTTCATTTTGCTATACGCATTCAAAGAGACTAATTGACCTTGGCAAGTGCAGTCATGTAAAAGCACTCCGTATAAGAAGAGCTTCCAGTAAGTGATTCCACTTAATGTGATCTTCACAACTTAATATGCATTGTGCATGCTCGAAAGGAGAAGATTCACAATGAAATTGCCAGCCATTTCTACAACATTATTACAGCTAAGAGGACACCTATGACTGCAATTAAACTGTAATACATGGAAGGCCCAAGTGTTTAATTACTTCTGTGTAATTACAATATAACCATCAATTCCTGTTGGAATGGAAAAATGAAGCAAGATATACAATGTGTATTTGCTTACCTATGGCCACAGCTGTTTCCTGGGAATCTCCAGTGATCATTTTAATGTCGACTCCAGAGCGTATGAGTGTAGTGATTGCTTCCTTCACACCTGTTCGCGGAGGGTCAATTATCCCCACCAGACCCAAAAATGTCAACTGACCCAATTCTGGACCAGAAGCCAGAGCAATTACTAAAAAGAAAAAGATATGAAGACAAAAAACTTCATTCTAACTGACATTTTGTGATCTTGACATTTTCCAAAGAATATTTGCCAGAAAATACTTTAATGAACTTCTTATCAAGAAAGAATGTTTAGCAGGAATGGATTTGAAGTGATTCTAAAAAGGTAGTAATTAAAAAAAAAAAAAAAAAAAAAACAACAAACATGTTCTACTTACCTGCTCTGTGTAATGGGTTTGCACAGAGCAGCCTGATCCTCTTCTTTTTGGGTCCCCCGTTGGTGGTCCTGGCTCCTCCTCCCCCGCCGATTGCCCTCAATAGCAAGCCACGGATCTCATGCACATCACTGGATCGAAATGGGGCTCAGGTAGGCGAGGGTAAGTGGGGAGCTGAGGATAAGGGAGGCTGAGAGGGGGGAGCTGAGGATAAGGGAGGTTGAGGGGGGGAGCTGAGGATAAGGGAGGCTGAGGGGGGGAGCTGAGGATAAGGGAGGCTGAGGGGGGGAGCTGAGGATAAGGGAGGCTGAGGGGGGGAGCTGAGGATAAGGGAGGCTGAGGGGGGAGCTGAGGATAAGGAAGGCTGAGGGGGGGAGCTAAGGATAAGGAAGGCTGAGGGGGGGAGCTGAGGATAAGGGAGGCTGAGGGAGGGAGGCTGAGGATAAGGGAGGCTGAGGGGGGGAGCTGAGGATAAGGGAGGCTGAGGGGGGGAGCTGAGGATAAGGGAGGCTGAGGATAAGGGAGGCTGAGGATAAGGGAGCTGAGGATAAGGGAGGCTGAGGGGGGGAGCTGAGGATAAGGAAGGTTGAGGGGGGGGAGCTGAGGATAAGGAAGGCTGAGGGGGGGAGCTGAGGATAAGGAAGGCTGAGGGGGGGAGCTGAGGATAAGGAAGGCTGAGGGGAAGAGCTGAGGATAAGGGAGGCTGAGGGGGGGGAGCTGAGGATAAGGGAGGCTGAGGGGGGGAGCTGAGGATAAGGGAGGCTGAGGGGGGGGGGGGAGCTGAGGATAAGGGAGGCTGAGGGGGGGAGCTGAGGATAAGGGAGGCTGAGGGGGGGAGCTGAGGATAAGGGAGGCTGAGGGGGGGAGCTGAGGATAAGGGAGGCTGAGGGGGGGAGCTGAGGATAAGGGAGGCTGAGGGGGGGAGCTGAGGATAAGGGAGGCTGAGGATAAGGGAGGCTGAGGATAAGGGAGCTGAGGATAAGGGAGGCTGTGGCTGAGGATAAGGGAGGGGGGGGGAGCTGAGGATAAGGAAGGTTGAGGCTGGGGGGAGCTGAGGATAAGGAAGGCTGAGGGGGGGAGCTGAGGATAAGGAAGGCTGAGGGGGGGAGCTGAGGATAAGGAAGGCTGAGGGAAGAGCTGAGGATAAGGGAGGCTGAGGGGGGGAGCTGAGGATAAGGGAGGCTGAGGGGGGGAGCTGAGGATAAGGGAGGCTGAGGGGGGGAGCTGAGGATAAGGGAGGCTGAGGGGGGGAGCTGAGGATAAGGGAGGCTGAGGCGGGGGGGAGCTGAGGATAAGGGAGGCTGAGGGGGGGAGCTGAGGATAAGGGAGGCTGGGGGGGGGAGCTGAGGATAAGGGAGGCTGAGGGGGGGAGCTGAGGATAAGGGAGGCTGAGGGGGGGAGCTGAGGATAAGGGAGGCTGAGGGAGGGGGGGGAGCGGAGGATAAGGTGGGCTGACACCTCTGGGGGGGGGAGCTGAGGATAAAGCTGAGGGGGGAGGCTGAGGGGGGGGAGCTGAGGATAAGGGAGGCTGAGGGGGGGGCAGCTGAGGATAAGGGAGGCTGAGGGGGGGAGCTGAGAATAAGGGAGGCTGAGGGGGGGAGCTGTACCCAGAAAGTGTTTTATCTTAATGCATAGAATGCATGAACGGTAAAAAACCTCCTGCATTTTAAAACCACTTTAAAGGAAAAACTACCAAAATTATTTATTTTTAGTACCTGTCACTTGTAATATAATGATCAATCCAGAATATATATAAAAAAAAGCTGCCCTGTGAAAAACAACATAGCCTAACACAGAAAAATCTTCATCAAATGTGATGTGTTCATTTTATGGAAGTTCCTGACAATCAGCCAGTGGTGCAGGAACAGTACAGTTCAATCAGCAGGTTTTCAACTGCCACTTTTTTTTTTTTTTAATATATTAATATATTTTATCGTCCCTCATGCTGGGAAATGTTAAGTACCTGTCTGAGGGTGGGAAAGGGTTAAGCTCAATCTGCAGCAGATTTGGCCATCTAAAGTAAGGTCCTAATATGCCAAACATGAATCATCTGGGGGTGGTGACTGAATATATCATTGGAGGGACAATGGCATGGATCATTTTAGAGCCAAACAAGTGAGGTTGCCCTTGTATTATTTAAATCTACCATTTGGGTTATTTAGTGTCACACATATGGACACCTGTACACGTCCTTTATTTTTATATGTCCAGATTGTGATAAAAATCACAATTCTTGTCTTCTTTCTTTTCCATAAATGCAGATATAATTGGGCTAGCCTGTGACTTTTGTGTTCAGTACAGAAGGGAGTGCAACTGACAACCACTGAGATGGGACTTGAACCATTATTTCATCTCTTCTCAGCCTGAAGCAATTCAACACAGTCATAAATCATACCTCGTAGCCCTGCAGTGCCCATGTATGCCGTCTCTTGTTGGTAAAGGTCTCTAAGTTGCTGGTTTAGAGGTAAAGACTGGCCTTTGCTGCTATAGTTTGTGCAATATCGAATTACTTGCTCATAAGCACCCTTCATAAAGAAAATTTCTGGTTTATCCTACAAATAATAAAATAAAGTTAAAATATATTTTGTAGGCCTCCTGTTAAAAACACAAGTAGTTAAGATACTTTTACCAGTTAATGTACAATGAGAGAGTTTATTAGTGTACATAGTATATCCTGTTTAATTTTATGATCTAGCAAACTGTATATAAGTAATTTTAGAGGTGCAATTTACTATGTGTAAAATGGTTTAAAGGGCAAGTTCACCTTTTAAAAAATACATTAACTGCACTTTTTCTGGCAGGAAAAAAAAACGTGCATTTAATATTATTTTGTTTCTGCAGCCTCTAAAGCATTGCACCTTCAATCAGCAGATTGCTGGTGCCATGCAGGTCTGCTGCAGACCTGTTAGTGTATCTGTGTACATCATACAGGCAAGCATATACTTCCTGAAGACTCAATGAAATACCACAGCGTTCCACAGTGGCAATGTAGTTCATTAAAAACTGCAAGCTGACAGTCACAAAGGCTGTCTGAACTTGTAGTTTTCTCATACACAAAACACCGGGAATGAGTGACGCAGCCAAGCGGGTCTGTTTGTAACATGTTGCACTCTGAATATGGGTGTAAAATGTTACAAAAGGTGAACTTATTCTTTAGAATGACACATCCCAATATAACCTCTAACTTTTTATTAAAATTAGAGCATGACAACATGCAGGGTCTTCTATTTTCAGGAGCATTCTCCTTAAATATTTATTGCAAACCTGTGATATGAGTACTAAAGTCACAAGGGTTGAGTCAATGACACCTGTCAGTCGTGCTACTGGTTAATTTCACTTTCATAAAAGACCACAGTGGTAATATATATGTATGTATGTATACATACACATACTACATCCAGAAAATATTCAGAGCACTCTGGACCTTAGACTGGGGCGACGGTTCATCTTTCAACAGGACAACGACCCTAAGCACACAGCCCCATAACAAAGGAGTGGCTACGGGCCAACTCTGTGGATGTCCTGGAGTGACCCAGCCAGAGCCCAGATTTGGACCCGATTGAACATCTCTGGAGAGATCTGAAAATGGCTGTACACTGACAGTCCCCATCTAACCTGATGGAGCTTGAGAGGTACTGCAAAGAAGAATGGGAGAAATTGCCCAAAAATAGGTGTGCCGAGCTTGTAGCATCATACTCAAAACAACCTGAGGCTGTAATTGGTGCTAAAGGTGCTTCAACAAAGTATTGAGCAAAGGCTGTGAATACTTTTGTACGTGTTTTTTTTTTATTTTTTTATTTTTAATAAATTGCAAAGATTTCAAAACGAACTTCTTTCACGTTGTCATTATGGGGTATTGTTTATAGAATGTTGAGAGGAAAAAAATAAATTTAATCCATTTTGGATCAAGGCTGTAACATAACAAAATGTTAAGCGCTGTGAATACTTTCTGGATGCATTGTATATAAAAGAAATTATAAGTATTTGTCAAGTTGCATACCTGCTGAGTTCTGTGCACACATTTTACAGCCATCCACTTCTTCTCAGAGCTGAACGGGTACTCTTCTTTCCGGATATAATCACGACGTCCTTCAAGCCCCATCTGTGTGCAAGACGACACAAATGTTACAATGGCAACAAATAATCAAAAGATAGGAACATGTTGCAAAAAATGGGAACATCTTGAGTATGCAGTACACTTCTGGTCATCAGCCCCCAGGAAGCATTTCCTTGAACTAGAGAGTCCAGAAAAGGGCACCAAAGCTAACAAAGGGACTTGGAGAACCTCAGTTAAGAGGAATGATTACAAACATTAAACATATTCTCCATGAAGAGGCTATTAAGACATGATAGTGACATACCTTCAATGGTGACCTTAGCATTGGAAGGACATTTTTAAGAGACACGCAGCCATACAATGAAGTTGGACGAGAAACAATTGAATCTTAAACTGCATAAGAGGTTGCTTACTGTTAGGTCGGTAAAGATGCGGAAACTCCTTTCCAAAGTCATTGGAGTCAGCAGAGAGTGTAGATTGGTTTAAAAACACTTTGACGTGTGTGTTTTTAGTGAACACAGTGTATAGGGATATGGAAAACAGTCACACAGTTGAACTGTACCGGTGTGTTTATTCAACTTTACCAACTATGTACAGTTGTGTTCAAAATAATAGCAGTCAGACATCACTAACCTGATCAATCACTGTTTTTGGTAGAAATTATATTTCTACATGGCAAATAATTTACTAGCTGGTGTAGTAGAGTAATAGAAATCCAACAGACCCAACAGTCATACCACGCATGCTGATGATTCTGTGTAATTGAATCACTAATTGAAAGGGACATGTTCAAAATAATAGCAGTGTCGAGTTCTATTAGTGAGGTCATTCATTCTTTGAAAACCAGGTGGCAATTATTGCCCTGATTTAAGGAAGGAAGGCAACAAATGTTGTACATGCTGGTTACAGTGCATTTCTCACAGCGTACCTTGATTAAAAAGTTGATTGGAGAGGGGAAAACATAAAGAAGTGCAGAAAATGATAGGCTGCTCAGCTAAAATGATCGCAAATGCTTTAAAATGGCAACCAAAACCGGAAAGACATAGAAAAAAAGCAAAAAACTACCATTCGAATGGATAGAAGAATAGCCAAAATGGCAAGGACATAGAAAAAAAAGACTCAGCCAACAATCAGCTCCAAGAAGATCAAAGAAGGTCTAAAGTTACCTGTGAGTACTGTTACAATTAGAAGACGCCTATGTGAAGCCAAGCTATCTGCAAGAAGCCCCCGCAAAGTCCCACTGTTGAAAAAAAGATGTGCTGAAGAGATTACAATTTGCCAAAGAGCACATTGACTGGCCTAAAGAGAAATGGCGCAACATTTTGTGGACTGATGAAAGTAAGATTGTTCTTTTTGGGTCTAGTGGCCGGAGACAGTTTGTCAGACGACCCCCAAACACTGAATTCAAGCCACAGTACACTGTGAAGACAGTGAAGCATGGTTGCGCAAGCATCATGATATGGGGATGTTTCTCATACTACGGTGTTGGGCCTATTTATCGCATACCAGGGATCATGGATCAGTTTGAATACATCAGAATACTTGAAGAGGTCATGCTGCCTTATGCTGAAGAGGAAATGCCCTTGAAATGGGTGTTCCAACAAGACAACGACCCCAAACACACACCAGTAAACGTGCAACATCTTGGTTCCAGACCAACAAGATTGACGTTATGGAGTGGCCAGCCCAATCCCCGGATCTTAATCCAATAGAAAACTTGTGGGGTGACATCAAAAATGCAGTTTCTGAGGCAAAACCAAGAAATAGAGAAGAACTGTGGAATGTAGTCCAATCATCCTGGGCTGGAATACCTGTCCACAGGTGCCAGAAGTTGGTTGACTCCATGCAATACAGATGTACAGCAGTTCTCAGAAACAGTGCTTATACAACTAAATATTAATTAAGTGATTCAAAGGAAAGCAAAATCTTCAAACATTTTTCAGTTTATATAGTGAATGTTTGAGTATGTAAAGAATACAAACACTGCTTTTTTTAAACAGTCTAATATTCACTTTTCTTCAATTTGTTTTAGAGGAACAACACAAATTTGATATATTTTTCTTCATGTTTTGATTTGGAATAGAATGTGTAGTGTTCCCAAAGCATTTGTGTGTATGGAAGTAAAAGCTATTAGAAGGATTTTGAGCTTTATTCACTTTTTTCAACACACTGCTATTATTTTGAACACAACTGTAACTATGTGCCCAAAACTCATTTCAATGTAAGAGCTCCTAAACAAAGTACTGATACTGTCTGCTTCACAGTACATCAATAGTCCCTTTCTATATACGCACAGTCAGATAGGGTTATGTCACACTATCTATATCCATGCTCTCTCTCTTTTTTTTTTTAATAGAAGAAAATAGATAAAGTATCAATGCCTTCATTTTTCCAAAATGCAGGTTAAAAAATGCAAGACCACGCACACTGTATTTTTGGTGCAGTCAAGGGACTTTGAAGCTGAACACAAAATTTATGATGTTTTTACCATTATCATGAATGGCACTAAAACGTCAGGAAGGAAATACAAATGTGAACACACACTATAATGAATCAGATCTCAGCATGTATTTTGTGTGCAGTATTAAAGGCATTTAAAGGACTTCTATAGTCACAGCATACACTTTAAATTTTGCAACTCAAGTATTGCTATAGAATACAAAGAATAGTTCTGCTTGACAATACAAAGTGAGCGTAGATAAAAAGTCTCCTTTTATGTTGTGAGTTCTGCCTGTCTGCCGGACACCTCTTTCCACAGCTTCCTGGATTCCCTGCATGCTTCAGCTGTTTATTTTCAATTCTTAGGGACTACATATCACATGGTACCTTGCTGCCTGTAAGCAGTGATTCCTGTACTGACTCCGCCTCCTGAATCTCCTCCTCTCAGCACCTCTGTAGTACAGAAGGCAGGCACAGCAGTGCCTACCCACAGGGTACTGTAAATACAGTTGTGCTCAAAACCCTGGCTACAGGTAGAGTAAGAAAGATCGCAACCACAACTGCCAGAAGAATTATTTGAGATGCAAAGAAAAACCCACAGTTAACTTCAGGAGAAATACAAGCTGCTCTGGAAAAAAGACTGTGGTTGTTTTGAAGGAGCACAATATGACTGTGTTTGAACAAAAATGAGCTACATGGTCGAGTTGCCAGAAAGAAGCCTTTACTGTGCAGTTGTAGCTGCAATCTTTCTTGCTCTACATGTACTTGGCTTGGTATCAAGAGAACCCCGAATTTCCCACTTCCTAATAAGTGATTTAATAGTACTGACTGGCATATTCAAGGTTTTGAACATCTTTTTTTTTATATCCTTTTCCATCTTTATAAAGTTCCATTGCGTTGCTACGCAGGTCTTTTGACAGTTCTTTTCTGATCCCCATGGTTCAGTATCTAGCCTGCTGAGTGCATCCATGTAAGAGCTAACAGAATCATTGGCTATTTATACACAGACACTAACTGCAATTTAAAAAGCCACAAATGAGGGAAATTAACCTTTAATTGCCATTATAACCTGGGTGTCACCTTGTGTGCTTGTACCAAGGCCAAACATTCCAGGGTATGCAAACCTTTGATCGGGGGGTCATTTGGATGATTTTTATTAAGATTTAAAAAGGAGCCAAAAAACTATGTGCTAATAAATGGCTTCCTGTGATCACAACCCTTAATAAAATTTCAATATTATTGCCAAAATTTCATATGCCCACTTTTGAGCAAGTATAATAGAATTCAAGGAAGTAAATGTGTTGGGGATCTTCACAAAGTATGTTTACACAATTCTATATCATTCGCAATAATAGGAACAGGCTAGAAATAATTGCAATATAATGGAGAAATTAATATGATTTTATATTTTAGCCAGAAATACAGTTAACTGCATCAATAATACAAACAATGTGAATGGGATTTAAACTTTAAAAAAAAGTTTTTATAGAGCTGGTTTTCAAAGATGTGGATCAAAAGGCAAGATAACTTTGCTTCAAATAGAACAAGGAATCTGGATCAAAGGCAGGATAACTTTGCTTCAAATAGAACAAGGAATCTGTCTTCTAGACAATTGTATTATAATATCGAATTTATCTGAATTTAGATGGCAATAAAATAAATAGCACATACAATAACAATGAGACCCAGTTAGAATATATTTTTGTATTCTACTGTAATGTATTATATTACTTTTACCACGAGGTGGCAGTCACCATTTAGAAATGGTTGTCCACAAGGCTATGGTGTATGCACCTCCGTAATCTTTAGACACAATACAGAGTACTGGGGGAACAGTCCGTTCTTTAGGCAAGCTCTCACACGCCACAACTGTTGATGAATCTTAGATTTGTACAGCCAAGTTAGATTTTGTATGTAGCAATCCCATTGTGTCAAACACCATTATTGTGTATGTAGCCATCCTTATAGAGTCCCACAGATGTAATCACCAAGTAACATACGGCTTTTAAATCTGTCGCTTCAAACTCCTGCTTGTTAGAGTGCTGAGCTTTTTACCTGCAGGCTTTAGTGGGCTCCCTACAGGTGTTAGCAGCAGAAGTCTTTTTCCTCCAACCCCCCCACCACCCCAGGCATACAGTCATGACCGAAATTGTTGGCACCCTTGATATTTCTCCAGGAAATCATGTATTTCTCACGAAACGTATTGCATTAACACATGTTTTGCTATACACATGTTTATTCCCTTTGTGTGTATTGGGACAAAACAAAAAAAGGGAGGAAAGAAAGCAAATTCGACATAATGTCACACAAACCTCCAAAAATGGGCTGGACAAAAGTATTGGCACCCTTTCACAACTGCGGATAAATAAGAATGTTACAAGCATGTGATGCTCCTGTAAACTCACCTGGGGCAAGTAACAGGTGTGGGCAATATAGAAATCACACCTGAAAGCAGATAAAAAGGAGAGACGTTCACTTAACCTTTGCATTGTGTGTCTGTCTGTGCCACACTAAGCATGGACAACAGAAAGAGGAGACGAGAACTGTCTGAGGACCTGAGAACCAAAATTGTGGGGCAAAAATCAACAATCTCAAGGTTACAAGTCCATCTCCAGAGAACTAGATTTGCCTTTGTCCACAGTGCGCAACATTATCAAGAAGTTTGCAACCCATGGCACTGTAGCTAATCTCCTGGTCGTGGACGGATGAGGAAAATTGATGAAAGATTGCAACGCAGAATAGTCCGGATGGTGGATAAGCAGCCCCAAACATGTTCCAAAGACATTCAAGCTGTCCTGCAGGCTCAGGGAGCATCAGTGTCAGCGCGAACTATCCGTCGACATTTAAATGAAATGAAACGCTATGGCAGGAGACCCAGGAGGACCCCACTGCTGACACAGAGACATAAAAAAGCAAGACTACAGTTTGCCAAAATGTACTTGAGTAAGCCAAAAGCCTTCTGGGAAAACGTCTTGTGGACAGATGAGACCAAGATAGAGCTTTTCGGTAAAGCACATCATTCTACTGTTTACCGAAAACGGAATGAGGCCTACAAAGAACAAAACACAGTACCTACGGTAAAATATGGTGGAGGTTCAATGATGTTTTGGGGTTGTTTTGCTGCCTCTGGCACTGGGTGCCTTGACTGTGTGCAAGGCATCATGAAATCTGAGGATTACCAAAGGATTTTGGGTCGCACTGTAGGGCCCCAGTGTCAGAAAGCTGGGTTTGCGTCCAAGATCCTGGGTCTTCCAGCAGGACAATGACCCCAAACATACGTCAAAAAGCACTCAGAAATGGATGGCAAAGAAGCGCTGGAGAGTTCTGAAGTGGCCAGCAATGAGCCCAGATCTAAATCCCATTGAACACCTGTGGAGAGATCTTAAAATTGCTGTTGGGAAAAGGTGTCCTTCCAATAAGAGAGACCTGGAGCTGTTTGCAAAGGAAGAGTGGTCCAAAATTCCGGGTGAGAGGTGTCAGAAGCTTATTGATGGTTATAGGAAGCGACTGATTTCAGTTATGTTTTCCAAAGGGTGTGCAACCAAATATTAAGTTAAGGGTGCCAATACTTTTGTCCAGCCCATTTTTGGGGTTTTGTGTGACATTATGTCATATTTGCTTTTCTGCCTCTGTTTTATATTTGTTCCAATACATACAAAGGGAATAAACATGTGTATAGCAAAACATGTGTTAATGCAATACCTTTTTTGTGTGAAATACTTGATTTTCAGGAAAAATATCAAGGGTGCCAACAATTTCGGCCATGACTGTATGTGAAGCAGAACCACTTACTGGCCGCCACTGTCAGAGCAGTCAATTAGTGCCTCTGCCTCGCACTGAGCCATGATGAAGAGGTGAAATGAGGACAGCGGCCAGAAGAACCAGTTGGAAGCTGCTGCTGACAAGTAAATTGGTGCTCTCCCATTTTTGGAAACATCAGCAGTTTGTAGTTGACTCTTGGTCTGCTTCAAACAGGACATACAAAACATTGCCTATCTTAAGCTCAGATTTAAAAAACGGGAAAAAAAAATCTTATAAGCTCTGCATTCTTTTGGGATATTGGGTAGACCACTTGCACATAATAGGCAGACAAGAAACACAAAAAATAGGCAGACAAGAAACACACAAAAAAAAAAAAGTAGAATAGGAAATGGGAAAGCACTTTCAAGACTTGAACCATGGCAATCCTTAAGATGCAACTTGGCTTTCATTTTGGTCATCAATAAAGATGTATTCTATTTAGTGCTCGCTAATTCAGATTCTAAAATCACAACAGAAAAGTCAGTCTCTTCTTATTTGAAACCTAGGATTACAGAATATGGGTGAAAAGGTAAGGAGTGCAAAATGGAGAAGAAAATAAGAGGGAGAGGAATGGAGCGAGGGAAAGAGAGGAATGGAGCGAGGGAAAGAGGAATGAAGCGAGAGAAAGAGAGGAATGGGGCGAGGGAAAGAGAGGAATGGGGCGAGGGAAAGAGAGGAATGGGGCGAGGGAAAGAGAGGAATGGGGCGAGGGAAAGAGGAATGCAATAAAATATAAGTGGCCATGGCGAGTTGCTTGCTCCCCAATACAATAGTATTACAAAAAAACAAAATGCCTAAGGGACTTTACGAGGTGCACCAACTCTGGTTAAAAAAAACAATACAAGGGCTGAAAGCAGACAGCAACTGGAAGGTACCCCACGGTGTGAACCATCCTGACCAGGAGCTGTGATGGGAAAAGGATCAACCCCCTGGAGAAATACAGAAGTGAGCACTGATGGAAAATGTCACAAGGAAGGCATCTGTATAGTAAACACTTCCAGAAATAAGCAACACATCCAGCAACCAGAGGAAAGAACCAACTACTCACTACTGTTGTGCCTCATAAAGTCCCTTGGGCATTTTTGTATTTTGTAATGCTCAGGGAAAGCGGAAAGAAGCGAGGGACGGAGGAAAGGAGCGAGGGACGGAGGAAAGGAACGAAGGACGAAGGAAAGGAGCGAGGGACGAAGGAAAGGAGCGAGGGACGAAGGAAAGGAGCGAGGGACGAAGGAAAGGAGCGAGGGACGAAGGAGGAGCGAGGGACGAAGGAAAGGAGCAAGGGAAACAGAAAGACACGCAGATTGAAAGTGCTAACCAAAACAACGGAGTTGATTTACTAAAACTGAAGAGTGCAAAATTTGGTGTAGCTGTGCATGGTGGCCAATCAGCTTCTAACTGCAGCTTGTTCATTTAGGCTTTGACAAAAACCATGGAAGCCGATTGGTTTCTATGTAGAGCTGCAACAGATTTTGCATGCTCCAGGTTTAGCTTATAAATACCAATGTTTTGAGAGACTTTTCAGGGGCTCCGGTGATAAACAATATAGTCCCATTGGCCGCTATGAAAATTTGGAGGTGGGAAGATGGCAAAACCGCAAATCAACTGCCTGTTTTTACTGCTCCTCTGCCATCAGTATGAACCAAGTAACACAGTAACCTTTTGGTTAAAGTGGTTATAAAGGCATTTTTTTTTACTTTAATGCATTCTCTGCATTAAGAAAAAAAAAAAAAAAAAAAAACACCTTTCAATTGCTGCTCCCCCCAGCACCCCTTCTTAACCTCCCTAGCGGTATGATTCTTTCCGATTTTTGGGGCTGAAAGCGGTACCATTATTTTGCATGGAAATATGTAGTTTTTTTATTGTAGGCTGTAATTTTTAGGAATAACTCACTGAAATCTGTCTGAACAAGATTCTAAATCATACATTTAATTCAATAATATAATCAAACCAAAAACACTGAAATTTGAAATATAGCGCCAAGTTCGCACATCGCTGAGCAAAGTCGCAAAATTGTTTTCAGTGTCTGATGACGAATTTCTCCACGAATCATTATCACTCAATTCTGCAAGTGGTTCTGATTTACTATCGCTGTTCTCTAGCTGATCTAAAACCGCTTTTGACCTAAATGGACGCTTTTTGGACGCCATGGACTTTTCTACGTTTCCAGGCAGAAAGAACAATCAAAATGCAGACAGGGGACAGGACAAAGCACTAGGGACAAAATGTATGTGAAATGGGTTGAAACAGCAATGTTTTACTATGTAGAATCGTTTTGAAAAAAAATGTCATTTTTTTTAAATTTTCAAATTTCACGCCGCCTCCGGCGGCGCTCGTACGTCCCGACGTCACAGGGACCGGAACACAGGAGCCGGATGCCGGCATCAGCTGGAGGAGATGGCCGGGGACGCTGCAGGGGACACATCGCGGGAGCCAAGGACAAGGTAAGTGCTGCAGGGACTCCCTATGCAGTGCTGCATGGTAAGCCCGAGTGTAGCTCGGGGTTACCGCTTTTGGTATAGACATTTTACCCCGAGCTACACTCGGGAATACCGTTAGGGAGGTTAAATACTATCCAGCACTGTGTCCGTCTGCAGCAGCTCTTCTCTACTCTCTCTCTTTTCACAGGAGACTCAACAGCAGTGGGAGTCATTGGCTTCCACTGCTGTAAATCAAAGCCTCTGAGGAGGGAATGGGGGACAGGGCCGAGCCATGCTGTGTATGTGTATGGATGCATATAGCACAGCTTGGGAGCGAGCCTGCACTTGTGCTCCATAGCAAGTGGCTCCCAGAAGAGGTTTGGGGCTGCTCTATGCCGTACCATTGCATAGGGCTGATAAGTACAACATGTTTACTATTTTAAAAGAATAATAAAATAAACGTTACAACAACTTTTTTGGATGGCTGTGTTAAGCCCGGTGTCCTTTGTATATGTTTGTTATATTCAGTGTTAATTTTGTTGAGAAAAATATTTTCATCAACTAAATTAACACGATTTTAGTCGACTAAAACAATTCAGACGACTAAAATACGACTAAAACTAAAATGGCATTTTATATTGAAATTTGAAGTCAAAATTAACACGGGTTATATTGAGGATTCTAAATTGTGGAAGGGTTATGTTTGTCTTAAAGTAATGCTGAAAGGAAACCACAAGTACAGATATAAAAGTACTAAATTCTGGGTGAAAGGACTTGCATCAGTTTCTCTTTCTACCACATCCTTTCTTCTACCGGGAATTTCAACACTTAGAATGTGGTAAAACTTGTTGTGACCGTCATAAGGCCCACCATAGAGCTTAGAAGATGGTCAGACATACAGACACAATCAGACCTCGGTAACTGCCAGAAAATACATAAACTGGCAAGATGCAGCTAACACTGATTCTGACAGGCCTTAAATATTAGTAAAATATACAAAGCAATGTCTAACCTGCCCTTCCTCCCATCACACAGATTTTGTGACTCGAAGTGAACTTGTAGGAAAGCTGATTGCTGGATTACGATTCCTGGCTAGCAGAATCCGCATCAGTAGTCAAAAGCAGTAAATAACTCAAGGCAGTTAATTCCTACAGTTCAGTACAATTCTTTAACAATAGCTGCATCAAACCATATCTTGTAGCACACTGGTAATCAATGGTTATCTGTGAATGAAGCCTTAAAGTCTAAAATGTCATAACAGGCGGTTTAAATTTTTTTTAAAATTTGCCAGAGGCAACAAATTTACCTTCATAGACAGAGCAATCAAAGCCCCTTCTGTTGGCTTGCCCATCAATGTATTATTCCTTATTTCTGCATCATTACACACGCATCCGGCCTGAAAACACAATAGAAATAAGAATATATATAAAGCATACAAAGTCAGTGTACACACACACACACACACACACACACACACACACGAAAAAAAATTAAAAAATACTGTCAAAAAAAAAACTACTTGTCCAAGAGACTAAATCAGGGACCAAATCTACTTTCCCCTAAAATACAATTTTTTTTTAACCAAAGCCATATTTAAATCTGAGGTGCTTTTAGGAATTTCTGGGGCTTTTATAACTGAAAGGTGCTTTTTGGTGACCTAAACTTCTGTTTTTACCATTGCGCTGTTTATCTCCTCCACGCCTTCCTGTCTCCAGCACTGCAACGGGGACTAGCAGGGAGGGAAGACCTTGTATTGTGATGAGCACCGATTGGGTGCTCATCAGGAAAAGGGAGTGTCGAGCTCTTAGGGTTCAGCAGAAGCGCATCTGCTGAGCGAGTAAATGAGATGAGAAAAAAAAAAAAAAAACACCCACAAAAAACCTTTATTCCTGCTGGTTACCCTTGCACATGGAAGTACTTGGGTGCTCAGTATAAGCACATGCTGAGCAGCCAAATCAATCTCCAGTGTCTGCTTCATTAAAGGATAAGTTCACCTTTAAAAAAATAAAATAAATGCACATTTTTCACAGGTAAAAAAAAAAATGTGTATTTTTTTTTTTGTGCGCTTGGGTGTAACTTTGTAAGTTTCTTGCAATTAAAAACGTTTTTTTTTTTTAATTTAATGCTTTCATTACATAGGGGACAAAAAGTCCCCTATGTGATGATTTTTTAGTGACAGATTCTCTGAGACATCCAGGGTTCGCATGCTCCCCTGTGCTCCATTGAATGTAATGCCGTGCACATCACACTGCATTACATACCTTTCCGGGCTTTGATAGCCAGGAAATCTGTCAACGGGGACCCAGAAGTGACGTCATACATGTCACTTCCAGGTCAGGACAAGAAGGGGAGGAGAGTGTGTCCGCTCTCCTCCCTCCCCTCTACCAGCGGACACTCCGCTACGCTGGTTTCAGGCCAGCAGATGGGCAAGCAGAAGGAGAAAGGTGTGTGAGCATCACTAGCGCAGTGTGTGGAAACAGTCGAGCACCAGCTCAGCGGCCTGAATGCTTCCATCTGTCAAGCTCTGCTGCGTGCCCGCAGCAGGGCTAAATGTAAAAAATACTTGCCCGGATACGTGTCCTGGGCATACGGCGATATAAATTGCACATCCCTCAATGGTATGAACCTCTTAGCAAAATGAGGGTAAGAGGGATCATAATTTCTTTATTTTAGCTAAAATGTCCATCATCTATTAGTAATTGTCTCAGGGTCCCAAGACATGAGACAAGCAGCCTGTGGTTTTTATCTGGCTCGTGAAAAGTAATAAATTATTTAGAGACTAGGAGTTTACTACAGTGGGGTTGATTTAGTAAAACTGGAGAGTGCAAAAACCGATCAGCTTCCATTTTTTTTTTTCGTCAGAGCTTAATTGAACAAGCTGAAGTTAGACCATGCTACCCATGCAAAGCTGCACCAGATTTTGCACTCTTCAGTTTTAGTAAATCAACCCTAGTGTGGCCCATAGCTAAATCCCTAATCATATCTAAAGCTTAAACCTTTTGTTTAAAGTAGAAAGAAAAATGTTGAAACCCCAACACATTCCTATTGCTGTCTGTGCTGCTGCAGGGGTAGATTCACCCTAGAAATCCAGAATTTTACATTTGTCACGGGAAAGAAGGGGAACCTTCCAATAGGGCTACAACTGTCTTACAGGGTTGTACACCCCACTTTATAGAAATGTCCGTGTTCTTTCTGCTGCGACCCCATGGCAGGGATTTGAATCACTCCCCACACTCATCAATCAAAATTAAAAACACAGTTCTGGCTTTGGATATACTTTAAATGGTCTCTGAAAACTTAAAAGATCATCATCACAAAAAAAAAAAAAATACACCATGTGGCCATTAGTTGCATTGATAGTTTCCCGTATATTAATCCTTGATTATTTCCATGTCTTCGTTAATGCTTTTTTTCACATTTATTTGCACACCAAGCCGGCCGTCAAAGGCAACCGTTCCAATAGTTGGAACAAATCAAAACACTATCATCTTTTATTGAGATGTTAATTTTTTTTCTCCAAACTGCTACTGCATCTGCCCAAGAACCTGGTATTTCAACACCCTATATGTTGCCTTTGAAGCCGAAATGGGTACACTTCTGCCCATGCGTCTTAGGCCTCATGCACCCTGGACATTTGGCAAATCTCTAATAGATGATATACCTCCTGGCAGCAGTGTTTAGGAAGGAAAAAAAAAAAATGCTTGATACTTTCAAATGAGTGTAGGCACATTTAGGTGCATCAAGCTCTTGGGCGTTAAGTTATGCTGGTCATTGAAATGAATTAAAGCTCAAGCACTAAAACGCACCTAGCGCATTTACAGGGGTGTTTAGAGGCAAAAAAGAAAAAACACCAGACAGCGGCATTAAAAACATCAAGTGTGCGTTAGCCGTATGTTTGTCTATTATTTTGAAACAACATTGCAACATACTACCACCTGTTTTAAATACATCTCGTTTCATCCCCGTATTATCCAGGTCTCAAAGCAGTAGTATGCTCAGCTATGGCTGGCATTAAGAACATTTCACAGACTATGCAACGCACTGTGACATTGTGGATGTATGTATTTCATTGTCCACCTATTGTATGATTAAGGAATGCTTGTGACCTCTAACAGAATTCTACAGTATAGCATGTCTTATTGCCCATTATTCTTGCGTGTTGACCACTTTACCTTGAGTTATGGATGTGAGCAATATGGCTAGCCAAGGCACTAGACAGGCTAATCTAGAGATTCATAATAAATAATGTATTATCCATACCAAGGGTCATTGTGATAAATGTCTTACAAGAGGTTGTGGCGTTACAATTCATTTATTTAACTGCAATTCCGTCTCTAGGTCAAACTCTTAACCTGGCATTAATCAGCTTGCCAGCACAGGAAAGAATTGGAGGCATAAGTAAAAAAAAAAAAAAAAAAAAAAAAAAAAAACTTACTTCAACTACTTTGCTGATGGATGTATTGCAAAAACCATGAATAATATCACCGTCAACAGTAACTTCACCAAATCGATTGTAGCCAACACCAGAAACCTTGTAAACACATAGCAAAATTTATTAAACTTACTGTTGAAAAAGGATCAACATTCATCAAATCCAACCTACAATTTAGAATGCATGTATTTCAACTTTATAAAATGTTATTACATCTTTGTTTTATGGGTATAAACAAAAGAGACAGAACAACAGAGCTTGAATGGAGACTTGCTGTGGCTGACATTGATCAAAATTCAGCCAGTTCAGCAGGGACTTGCCAAATTCTGATCGGTATGGTTGTCGCTTGACAGAAGTTGATAGTTTGATCGACTTCTGTCGAAGGGGCATGCTACCAAACCTCTCTCAAGCAGCAGCTGCTGATAAGAGGGTGCGTCACCTTATGGCTGAATGAGGAGTGGCTGGATGGCTCACCAAGTTATGTACTCAATGGCTTTCTTTTAGCATAGCTGAGAGTTAAAGGGTAACTCCACTAGTTAACAAGTGGGGAAAACAAATTAGCAAAGAAAAAAAAAATTACACACACGCACACTTTTTACAATTGCAACAAAAGTCATATTGTAATTGAATGCCATTAAACATGACCTATACCTTTTTAATCTGTAATTTTTTGTAAAATGCAATGCAATATGGATATGTGGAGGTGTTCTGTACACAAATGGTGTACAGAACGCCCCCCAGATATGTCAATTCCTGCCTGTGTGATTGGCTGATTTTCTCAGAAGTCTGCACTAAAATACAAGTCAAATTCTGGGCATCCCCTGCAACAACAATTTCATTTTTGGTGAGATAGTTCCAAAGAAAGTCATGTCTAAAGGTATGCAGACCCTGCCACTTTCCTCAGAGCCCTGCAGGCACAGCAGCTGATAGATAATTATAAAGTCACTCCCATACAGATTTACTCTGCACATGGACACAGGTAAACCGCTTTTTTTTCAGAACAAAAAAAGGTAGGCACCTGCAATAATGTTTGTTCAAATTCTTGCAATGTACACAGAGCACAAAGTGGAGTTACTCTTTAAGCTGGCTATACACTGTTCAAATTACCCATAAATTGGCCAAAATGCGAGCTGTTGGTGGCCCTTGTGACACCACCTGGCATAACAAAAATCTAGAAATCAAAGGAGCCAGGTGGAAATAAGTTGACTGAACAGCGACCGCAGCCACAGAGGTTGCCTGTCAGAATTCAATAGACAACAGTGGGAGATTCATCTATCCAAGCTGTTTAGTGTGGATGGGAGAATCTATTGATTTTCTTCAGTGAGCCTGCTGGGTCGAACAAAAAATGTATTTATGCATATGCCAGCTTATTACTTCACATGTACAGCATGTAAAATAAGTATTGAACACATCACCATTTTCTCTGTAAATATATTTCTAAAGGTGAAATTTTCACCACATGTTAGCGACAACCCATGCAATCCATACATACAAAGAAGCCAAAACAAATACGTTCAGAAATTAAGTTATGTGTAGTAAAATCAGATGACACGGGGAAAAAAAGAATTTGGACACGCAAACTGAAATCTATTTAATATTTCGTACAAAATCCTTTGTTGGCAATGACAGCTTCAAGAAGCCTCCTGCATAGAGAAACAAGTCACATGCATTGCTCTGGTATGATTTTGGCCTATTCTTTTACTCCGTCTTCAAATTTTGAAGGTTCCGTGGGCCTCTTCTATGAACTCTGATCTTTCCATAGATTTTCTTTTGGATTCAAGTCAGGTGATTGGCTTTGCCATTCTAGCAGCTTTATTTCTTTGAAACCAATTGAGTTTACTTGGCTTTATGTTTGGGATCATTGTCTTACGGAAATGTCCACCCTCGTTTCATCATCATCCTGGTAGATGGCAGCAGATTTTTATTAAGAATGTCTTGGTACATTTTTCCATTCATCCTTCCTTCAAAGACATGAAGTTTGCCAGTACCGTATGCTGAAAAACAACCCCACACCATGATGTTCCCACCTCCAAACTTCAATGTTGGTATAGTGATTTTGGGGTGATGTGCAGTGCCATTTGACCTCCAAACATGGTGTGTATTATGGCATCCAAAGAGTTACATTTTGGTCTCATCTGACCAGACTATATTCTCCCAGTCTTTCATCGACTTGTCTAAATGTTGTACAGCAAACTTTAAACAAGCTTCAACATGCTTTTTTTTCAGCAATGGATTCTTGAGTGGTGAGCGTGCATACAGGCCATGGCGGTTGAGTGCATTACTTATTGTTTTCTTTGAAACAATTGTACCTAATTTCAGGTCTTTCTGAAGCTCTCCTCAAGTGGTTCTTGGCTCTTGGATATCTCTTCTGATAATTCTTTTCACTCCTCTGTCAGAAATCTTGTGAGGAGCATCGGGCCGTGGCCAGTTTATGGTGAAATTATATTCTTTCCACTTTCAGATTATGGCCCCAAAAGTGTTCACTAGAACATTCAGAAGTTTAGAAATCCTTCTGTAACCAATGCCATCAGTTTGTTTTGCAACAATAATGCTGCGAAGGTCATGAGACAGCTCTTTGCTTTTACCCATCACAAGATATTTTTATGTGTGATACCTTGGTAATGAGACATCTTTTTATAGGCCATCAGTTGAGACTGAAACATATGATATTAATATGCACTGACGAAGGGCAGAAATGCTTGTAAATTACTGATAGATTTCTGCTGGTGTCTTGGCTTTCCATGCCTTTTTGCACCTCCCTTTCTTCATGTGTTCAATACTTTTTCCCTGTTTCATTCCATTTTATGACACAACTTAATTTCTAAATGAATTTGTTTTGGTTTCTTTGTATGCATGGATTGCCACTGACATTTGGTGAACATTTCATATCAGTAGCACCTTTAGAAATATAGTTACCAAAAAAAAAATGGTGACATGTTCAATATTTATTTTACCCACTGTAAATGGATAGAACAATATATATTATTAGGTTGCAATATTTCACATTTAGCCAACTAAAAATAAATTAATCAATTAATAAAAAAAAAAACCCTGTAAAACTCCTGACCATAATAAAAGTATATATGTACAAAACCACTATGCAATTCATTAAATGTTTATTTTACAATACAGAAAAAAAAAACACAAACATTTTGTCAATATAGTTCTACACTTTTTTTTTTTTTACACTTGATATCTAAATCTGTCCCAGACTCCATACAGTAGAAACCACACTACAATAACCATGTGACATTTGTAACAAAAAGACAATGGTCTATAAAACTGAGATATACCAAAAAAAAAAAAAAAGATTTGTGACCATAAAACAATCTTCATAGAGTACAATACTGAACACAGGCTACATTTTCAGGTACACTGGGTTACGCTGCTGCCTTTAGGAGATTGAGCACTGGCAAAACAAAGCTGTAAAGACAGTCCACCCCTACCACTCCCAGCATGCCACAGTTTTGTTAGCAAGCAATAGTAGGAGTGGATCATAAGAACAGAGGGGAGAGACCTGTGTCCTATAAAGTACGCCATACTGTATAAATGATATTACGGCAAGTAAAACATCCTATCTTCTTAACTGTACATTACAACCAATCCAGAGGCCACAACCTCTTGTCCCATGCTACTACTAGTGTTTAGTTGCAAGGTTTGAAGGGAAATTGGCAGATCCTCTCCAAGTCATTAATGTTTGGCAACTTGAACTTTCAGCTCCCTCCACAGATTTTCAATCGGATTAAGGTATGGAGACTGGCTAGGCCACTCCAGGACCTTAATGTGCTTCTTCTTGAGCCACGCCTTTGTTGCCTTGGCCGTGCGTTTTGGGTCATTGTCTTGCTGGAACACCCATCCACGACCCATTTTTAATGCCCTGGCTAAGGGAAGAAGATTCTCACCCAAGATTTGACAGTACATTGACCCGTCCATCGTCCCTTTGATGCGGTGCAGTTGTCCTGTCCCCTTTGTAGAAAAACACCCACAAAGCAGAATGTTTCCACCACCATAGTTGACAGTTGGGATGGTGTTCTTGGGGTCATAGGCAGCATTCCTCCTCCTCCAAACACGGTGAGTTGAGTTGATGCCAAAGAGCTCGATTTTGGTCTCATCTGACCACAACACTTTCAACCACTCCTCCTCTGCATCATTCAGATGTTCAGTGGCAAACTTCAGATGGGCCTGGACATGTGTTTTCTTGAGCAGGGGGACCTTGCAGGCACTGCAGGATTTCAATCCTTGTCGGCGTAGTGTGTTACCAATTGTTTTCATGGTGACTGTGGTCCCAGCTGCCTGGAGACCATCGACAAGATCCTCACGTGTAGTTCTGGGATGATTCCTCACTGTTCTCATGATCATTGACACTCCACGAGGTGAGATCTTGCATGGTGCACCAGAACTAGGGAGACTGACAGTTGCTTTGTGTTTTTTCAATTTACGAATGATTGCACCAACTGTTGTCACCTTCTCCCCGAGCTGCTTAGCGATAGTTTGGTAGCCCAGTCCAGCCTTGTGTAGGTCTACAATCTTGATCCGGACATCCTTGGACAGCTCTTTGGTCTTTGCCATGGTGGAGAGTTTGGAATTTGACTGTTGGATTGCTCCTGTGGACATGTGTCTTTTTTACAGGTAACAAAATGAGATTCGTAGCACTCCTTTTAAGGGACTGCTTCTAATCTCAGCTTGTTACCTGTATGAAAGACACCTGGTAGCCAGAAATCCTGCTGAATGATAGAGGATCAAATACTTAATTCCCTCATGAACATGCAAATCAGTGCACAATTTGTTAGACATGCATTTCTTTAGAATTTGTTGTTGCTATTCTGTCTCTCAGTGTTACATTACACCTACCATTGATTTTTAGACTGATAATTTCTTTGTGAGTGGGCAAACATTCAAAATCAGCAGGGGATCAAATACCTATTTCCTTCACTGAAAGCGGGGCAAAGGCAGAGATTGAAATTCCAGTTTATAGATACACGATTCTAGACCCAAATGCTTGAAATGCCATGGGACCAGATGGGAGCGCCTCCTCGTTATGAGGACAATTTGCTTTGGACTTGGGAGGATTTGGGGGTCCAGGATTTATGGCATTGCCTTGGACCTGGTGGCCTTACAAAAAAAAAAAGGATAGGTACAGGATCCTTGGATATAACCATTGAAAAGGTCAGTAAATGTTTGGCAAATGAACATGGTCACAAAGGCTGGTTGCAGGGCAGAACCTGCAAGGAGAATAAGGCCTAAGAAAGGGCTTCTAAGACTTTTATCCACTGGGTCTTTAAATACAAGTATGCCCTCAATAGGGACATTTAAGGTTTTGTTAAGACAGAAAATACCTGGGTCCAAAATGGGGACAGTTCACTTCCTTAGGAAGCTCTCCTCCATTAAGGAATAGTTGGCCAAAACCTTAATGAGGGGTAATGTCTTTTTCTGGGTTAGGCCAATCACGAAACAGGACTGGATGCAATAGGGAGTGCACTGAAAAAAATCCTAAATTGATGACACAGACTAGTCACTTTAGGTAAGTCAACGTAGGGAGCTTGAAAACTTGCTAGATTAAAAATAAAATCTTGATAAAAAGGAATAAAGGAGAGACACATCTGTTCACCTAAGACAGCAAAAAAGACATGCTGGGATTAGGAGGAATTGTCTGGACAGCTTTGTTTTGCCAATGTCCAATCTCCAGAATGGAGCAGAACAACCCAATGTATCTAAATACTCATTCTGTGTTCTGTAATGTACAAATCAATAGGTCTACTACCTTTAAGTATTAGAAACATTTAATTGGCAATATATAAGTTGCTGCTCTTCAGCATGGCAGCTTTGAGATGATAAAATATTCTCTAACCCATTGCATTGAGGCCTCTGTACTTTCCAGTTCTAACACTCATGAAACTATGAAACATGGTTCTCCACTTCTCAGGCCACTTAACAAGACCACCACCTGCCTCACTGCTTTAAGTGTTTTGGCTGACTAAAATGCATCTAGATACATCAGTTCTCATTAAGCATTGATCTTCAGTAAGTGACAGCAGTAATTCAAGGTGCATGTCCTAATAAAACCTGGAAGCTAGGAGAGGGAGATAGAAAACGGAGTATAGTATCCTTTAACCACTAGCCTACAGGGCACTTATACCCCCTTCCTGCCCATGCAAATTTCCAGCTTTCAGCACTGTTGCGCTTTGAATGACAATTGCTCGTTCATGCAACACTGTACCCATATGAAATTTTTATCATTTTTTTGTACTAGATAGAGCTTTATTTTGGTGGTATTTAATCACCTCTGGTTTTTTTTTCATTTTTTTCTTAAACCAAAAACCACTGAAAATTTTGAAAAAAAAAAAAAAGATTTTTCTTAGTTTTTGTTATAAAATGTTGTAAATAAGTGATTTTTCTCCTTCACTGATGTGCGCTAATGAGGCTGCAGTGATGGGCACTGATAGGCTGTACTGTTGGACACTGATAGGTGGCACTAATGGGCATTGACAGGCATTGCTGATGGGCACTGAAAGGCAGCACTGACTGGCACTGATAGGAAGCACTGACGGGCACTGATAGGCGGCACTGATGCACACTGATAGGCGGCACTGAAAGGCAGCTCAGATGGGCACTGATATGTGGCATTGATGGGCACTGGCAGGTGGCATGGATGAGCACTGAGAGCTGGCACTGGACACTGACAGGTGGCGCTGCTGATGCTACACAGATCATCAGGGTACACTGATCATCAGTGCTCTGATGATCTGTGTACATGTCCCCTCCGAGGAATGCCGATTACCGCCTCTCCTCTTCTCACGAGCTGTCAGCGTGACAGCGATAACCGGCATTTCCCTGTTTACATGTCATCAGCTGTGATTGGACACAGCTGATCACATGACTGAGCTGACATCTTCGGCTCTTTCCATGGAACGGTGATCTGCTGCGTCCGAGGGACACAGCGCACCGCTGATCGACGCGCTGCGTGCTCCGGGAGCCGCGCATGTGCGGGTAGAATGGGAGGACGCCATATGATGTCCTCCCAGAACGAGAGAACCACCTTGCGTCCGTCATATTACTATATGGCGGGCGGGAGGTGGTTAAAGAATTAAATGTTAAAAAATAAATAAAATATATGTGCTACGATTGCTAAACCTCAACAAAAAAAAAAAAAAAAGTTACCGTATTTTTTGCTCCATGAGACGCACTTTATTCCCCCCAAAAAAGGGGGGAAAATGTCAGTGCGTCTTATGGAGCGAATGTAAATCGGCCGGTCCAGCATTTCTGCTGCCACCATGTCAGAATATCAGGCCGGCCGCTCAGCTCTTCTCTCCTGCAGGACCTTACCTGTTCCTCGCTCCAGCGCTGCAGTCTTCCCGCGGCTGCTTCTGTGACAGCCGGGTGCCCACTGCGCATGGGACACGACAGGTCCTAGAAGGCTCCGGGCCATTCACAAAGCGCAGCGCTTCTTGCGCATGCGCAGTGGGCACCCGGCTGTCACAGAAGCAACCGCGGGAAGAAGGAAGGACAACTCCGCGGAAGTGGGAGCGGGTACCTGTCAAATTCAGGTCCCCGTTCCCCTTCCCTCCCCAAAGGTTCGCAGTCATTGGTCATTCCCTGTACTATGTCCGCAGTCTCTGGCCATTCCCTGTACTGTGTCCGCAGTCTCTGGCCATTCCCTGTACTGTGTCCGCAGTCTCTGGTCATTCCCTGTACTGTGTCCGCAGTCTCTGGTCATTCCCTGTACTGTGTCCGCAGTCTCTGGTCATTCCCTGTACTGTGTCCGCAGTCTCTGGTCATTCCCTGTACTGTGTCCGCAGTCTCTGGTCATCTCCTGTACTGTGTCCGCAGTCTCTGGTCATCCCCTGTACTGTGTCCGCAGTCTCTGGTCATTCCCTGTACTGTGTCCGCAGTCTCTGGTCATTCCCTGTACTGTGTCCGCAGCCTCTGGTCATTCCCTGTACTGTGTCCGCAGTCTCTGGTCATTCCCTGTACTGTGTCCGCAGTCTCTGGTCATTCCCTGTACTGTGTCCGCAGTCTCTGGTCATTCCCTGTACTGTGTTCGCAGCCTCTGGTCATCCCCTGTACTGTGTCCTCAGTCTCTGGTCATCCCCTGAACTGTGTCCGCAGTCTCTGGCCATATCCTGTACTGTGTCCGCAGTCTCTGGCCATCCCCTGTACTGTGTCAGCAGTCTCTGGCCATCCCCTGAACTGTGTCCGCAGTCTCTGGTTCATCCCCAGTACTGTGTCCGCAGTCTCTGGTCATCTCCTGTACTATGTCTGCAGTCTCTGGTCATCCCCTGTACTGTGTCTCTGCAGTCCATTGGTTCAGAATATTTTTTTTCTTGTTTTTCTCCTCTAAAACCTAGGCGCGTCTTATGGAGTGAAAAATACGGCAATTGCCTGAAGTCTTGAGGATTCTTTTATATTAACCAGAAAAGCTACAATTTCTGGGGAAATTGTGTGAAGTGTTCTTGCCTCCACCAGTAGTCTACAACTGGAGTGGGCGGAGTGGCTTGTCACTCTGCTGCCTGCTCACACACCTGGGTTCCTATGACAACTCACTCTACAGCAAGGGCAGAGAAGAGCGGTTAAAAACAAACTGCTCCAACTTGCTCACTTCACTGGCAGTTGCCATCTTCAAACGGTTGTAGTTTAAAAATTATAAATCCTACACCAAAGAGCTTTATATTGTGAGAATCACAAGACCCAGACCTACATTTTGATGCATAGTATGTCTCTGAAATATTAAAAATGAAGGCACAGTCACAGTTTAGAAATTGCCCTTCAAATTTCAGGTGTCTAGAGTGGAGTTTCAATGAATGTCAATGGGCGGCGTGAGTTGCAAACAAATGGTCATATTGTGAAAACTATCAGGACTATGGCTTAGCCGTGGACATTGTTAGTGGCAGGAGGGATAGCTGAACGTTTTGATATAAGATTTGTGTAGGTGGGCTTGAAAATGAGGGAGTGATGGCAGTTTAGAAATCATGTCCTGATTTTTCAGCTCACACTCTAGCTTTTGTCAGCTTCCACTCTAGTTTTGAACATTCTGCCATTCATTCCTATGGGACCAATTTCACAAAAACGCCGATATTTCGTGAACCATTCGGCGAAACGTTCCACAAAGTAATAGTACACCAATCGGGAACAAGCCGCACGTTTCAGTATATTACTGTCTATGTAGTGTAAAAACTGTGGGAAGAGTTAGGGTGGTAAATTTGGCTATAATAATAAGAATATATATGTGAGATAACAGTAAGTGGTCTTGCCATGCAAGAACACTTAATAACAACTGACCTGGAACAATCATGCAGCCGCTGAAGGCAAAATATCTAGATAAAGGACTCAAAAATAAACTCAACAGAGCTACTCAACATCCATGTTTACCTTTTTTTAATACAACCTGTGTACAGAGTAAGAACTTGCAATAGCAAAGCATTTATAACACAATTCTGTGCAACTGTTTAACAATGCACTAATACAAAATGCAGGAATTTGTGACTTATATTTAATGCATTCAAAATGCCCCATTATATCAGTGAGCAAAAGCAACTCTAGTTTCATATAGTGAAAAACCCAGTGAGCTGTTTAACACATACCTCAGCATGAATTCCATCAGATGTAAAAATGTGAGTTACAGTCATCTCGTTCTTTGTTAATGTTCCAGTTTTGTCGGAGCAGATAACATTACAGCAGCCTGAAAGAAACATTTGTCACAGTGGCACCAATCTGGATCCAGAATGTGGGAAAAAAGCTTTGCAATTATTTTAAAGAAAAGACAAGCTGCAGAATGCTAACAAGATCAAAGCATGTTAAGAGGGAGAAATATTCAAGGTCTTAAAAACATTAACATTTTCACTACTATGTTACTAATCAAGAACAATATGAGCTTCTAACCTATGCCTGCCTCAAGCACTAAATCAAAAGCTTCAAGATTAGGCAGCAGGGATACGAAGAAAAGGTAAAATATGCTGCTGGGGATAGGGGATTAAATAAAACCTGTTGCTTTGCCCTTAACAAGAAAAGCACAGCTTTCCTTGAAGTTTTGTTTTACTGCAGTGGGTAAAGAAATCTAAAGGGCTCCCGGCACAAAAAAAAAAAAAAAAAAAAGCCTTATTAACCACTTAAGCGCCAAAAGATTTTGCCCCCTTCATGACCAGCACTGCGCTACTTTAACTGGCAATTGCGCAGTCATGCAACACTGTACGCAAATGAAATATATATATAATTTTTTCTCCATACAAAAAGAAAGCTTTCCTTTGGTGGTATTTGATCACCACTGGGTTTTTTATATTTAAAATACAAAAAAAATTCTAAATGTCTTTATAAATTTAGGCCAAAATGTAATCTGCTACATGTTGGTAAAAAAAAAAATCCTAAGTGTATAGTAGTTGATTATTATGAAAGGTATAACATCTACAAAACTATTGTATATATATTTGAAAATTAATCAATTCTGATGTATTGTACTTACGGGCTATTTATTGAGACCCTTAAAATTTCAGAACAGTACAAATACTCCCCAAATGACCCTTTTTGGAAGCAGACAGTCTGAGGTATTTAGTAAGCGGCATGGCAAGTCATTTTTGGGAAAATAAGAAAAATTTAAAAAGGGGGGGGGGGGGGGTGATCAGGGATTTTTTTTTCTTTTACACTTGGATTGCAGTTACAAATTTTAATACATGACAGCTGTAATTACTAGTGATCTGTGATTGGCTACAGCTAAATCACATGGTAGAGGGTGCTGTGACTGGCTCAGGTACCTAGTGATAGCTGTGGGCCCATTGGCTCCTGCTGCTGTCAATCACAACCAGTGAGCCAATGAAAAGAGCAGGGGGCAAGGCCAAGCCGCAGCTCTCTCTGTCTTATAGACGCATAGAGCAGCAGCTCGGGTACGAGCATGCAGCAGAGCCCCAGAGGTGAGTGGTTTCCCTGTGGGGCACTACTTGAGGCGGAGGAGCCAGGAATACCAGCGGAGACCCGAAAAGAAGAGGATCGGGGCTGCTCTGTGCAAACTCAATGCACAGAGCAGGTAAGTATAGATATGTTTTTTATTTTAGAAAAATAAAAAAACAAAAAAATGAAGCTTTAGTGTCACTTTAATACGGCTTTATGGCTTATTCAGACCATTCACTGTGCAGCTATCAGAGAGCTGCAAGAACTGTTAGTTAAAACATTCAAAAAGCACATATACATATAAAAATGCAGCGCTGTAAAATGATCAAATCATGCAAATCAACACAATAATAGTCCTGAAAAGGTGCTCATTAATTCCCAGTGCCAATGGAAAGAATGCAAACTAACCAGCCACAGAGTGATTTCAATCCCAGCCCTGGTTCCATTGAAGAGGAATATCCTATCCTGGGAGCTTCTGACCTGCATGATTTTGTTTTCAGCACATATCCATTTTCTGACCAGAGGGAGAGAGGGGAATCTCCAGATTTCTTACACACATGCGTATTTTAAATGCGCTTCTGGTTAGTTTGCATTCTTTCCATTGGCACTGGGAATTAATGAGCACCTTTTCAGGACTATTATTGTGTTGATTTGCATGACTTGATCATTTTACAGCGCTGCATTTTTATATGTATATGTTTTACTGAGGATTTTTACATGCGTTTATCCTGGATGTTCAGCTGCTGTTTCTTTGAGAGCGCTCACTGTGTGTCCTTTACCTATACACATTCAAAAAGCACAGTGTCTCAGGTAACAGTAAGATAGAATGATGACTGCAGAACTGTTAAAGTCTTACTGCTTTTATGGTTATACATAAACAGATTAACACATCTTGTTAAAAAAAAAAAAAAAAACCTTTGCAGAACTGTCAGGGTGAGCACAGAACTGCAGTGCAGGCTCATATTCTGATCTTTCTTAAGGTGTCTGAATTACAAATCAATAAACCCTGCACAATAAACAACCTTCCTTCAGACATCTGAAGCAATCAATAAGTCAAGTAGTGCAAACGAATATTCAAAGAGCTGTAGAAAACATAAAAACAGTCCATGTAATAAGATTTACAGTCTACTAGAGTTCAACAAGTTGCTATGAAATCATCTGTTTGATGTATAATCATCAGGTATCTTCATGGCCTCTGAATCAATGCCATCTCTTGACACCATGCCAACTGTTTACACTTTCAGGCCTCTGAAAGCTTGGAGTAGTAAATGCCAGATACTAAGTGATGCTACTTACTGAAGCAGGAAAAGACAAGATAAGGGGATATGATTTAATACAAAGCCATTGGCAGTAAATGTTCGTCACCTTTTGCAGCAGTTTAATGAAGCACAGCTTCTCTGAGCATTAAACTAGCCTAAGGGTGAGGAAATGCCTGCAAGTGATTACAATGCACTGCAGGCAGTAGACAATGCAGAGCAATGCAAGAGATCTATTAATCAAATACAAACAAAAGGATCCCTTTATGCATTGCTCTTAGCCCACAAAGCACTGGGGGATGCTGGGTGAAGGCTCTGAATTAGGACTGAAAAATGGAATTGGCCAAAGATGGAACTCATAAGTTATATATTATTTCTCCTGTTAAGTTCCCGGAGCAAGAAATAGATACTGCAAATAGTGGCTCTGGAGTGACAACTGTCATGATTATTTTGAAAAGGAGGGGTTTGCTATTAAACATTCACATTTTCTATGCGGCTATACATATGCTTGGGCTACAATGCAGCTTACAGCCTCAGACCCTGAGACGTTTAAAAGGAACCAGTATGTGTGATTTCAGAGCATGTAATCACCATGGTTAGACAACCAGAGGATGCTGGGGGTCAGATGAAAAGTTTACTACTTAAAAGCAGCCTCTCTCAAACAGGGTCCCCAGGCACCTTCAGGCTTTTTCAAGGATGCCTTGGCAAAATGTTTAAATAATGACCAAAATTGTATACAAGCCAGCAGGTGGATCAAGCCTGCCTTTTAGTTACACAAAGCCATAGGTTTTCATTGCGCACTTTTACAACCTGACAGCTGCTGGCATCCTAACAACCAGTTTACATCATTAGTTGATAAGGAGGATGTCGGGCGCCTGCACAGCATCCTTGTTTGCCCCTCTCCATCAGCACTATGGACACATTAGCTGAGTTAGGGAGAGAAACTGAAGAGGAACATTGGAATATTATTCAGTACCAGTGTGCAAAAGTGTATTTGCTTTGGAAGAATAAAAATCACCTCTAGCACTGGGTGTCCTACATGTGTGGATGTTGCTGCGTTATGTAAAACTATTAGAATCATTTTTTTACATTTTAAAATGGGGTGCCTTATGGTTGTGCAGAATGTTAAAGGGTGCCTTGAGATTGTGCAGGATGTTAAAGGGTGCCTTGAGATTGTGCAGGATGTTAAAGGGTGCCTTGACTGAAAAAGGGTTGATAAACACTGACTCAAAGTAACACATTTTTTACCTGCCACTATTATGGTGGCCTTAGACAAGCAGATGCTTCACAGTGAAGAACATCCAGTGAGACATTTATTCATCCTCAAATGACTTGTACAACCCCAGGATTGAGTGTGATCCTCTTTCCAGGACTAACAAATAAACGCAATACATGCACTCTTACACAATTACATTTTTTTTCTTACACTAAAAAGCCAACTAGTGACCAGTGGGGTGTGTTACGTACATTTTATAATTGTTTTTGGGAGAAGGATGTGCTCTACACCTACAGTAAATCCCTATTCACCACCTCACTGGATATATTTTCTAACTGCCCAGCAATCACAGAGATTTTACAGCTTGTAATTTCGTTTGATGATTGGAAGTGCTCATTTGCCCAACACTAAATGGCCTGTTGCCAAAAGCAATATTTGATTTGGCAACATTGATTGCTTTTGTCTTGTACAGCCAGCTCTCTGGTTGCCATAACAGACTGTAATCTAAGACAGCAGGGAGAGACATAAGGTCTTCAAATCGCTCGCTGTCGCTTTTAGGTTATCACTTTTCTCTCATTATCACAATTAAATTACTTACCTGCATTTGAAAAGGAGATATCAAGTGGACTAAGACACAGATATGAATTCCACTTACTGCACACCCAAAGGTTGCCTTTAGACAGAATCTGACAACTACTGTACTGGATGCAAGTAGCCTTTAATTTTTATTTAAATCCAAAATATCAGTTTTTTCCATATCTATAGCAATACTATAGTTCTACAATATCTAAGATTTCAACTTGGGATCCAGAATTATCAGACTTGGCCATCAAAACATATCACAAAATACACTGAAGACTGAATATCTGCACTGAGTCAGTATACATCGCCCAAGTCTTCATATCTATGACCTCTTTACCATCAAATTAAATTAATTTACACAAAAAAAAATTTAAAATAATATCTTCTTTGGACAAGTCTCTTCTGGTTGCCACAATGAAGGACTTTGGTAATAATGACTGTTTAATACGGACTGCACACTAACAGACAGGTTTCAATCTGGGTCTTTTATCTCAGATAAATTGAAATCTGGGAATTCTTTTGAGGACAAGGAGGTACACGTTTTGGACAGAGCGGAAACTGGTTCAAAAAAAGTGTAAAAAGAGGCCATTTAAGTCAAACAGTGAGACATCCCTCAACAGAGATGGTATTGAAGGCCTCCATATCTCTTTCACATATAAACATTGTTTTAAAGTGGAGTTCCAGCTGAAAAAAATAAATAAATAAATAAAAGTCAGCAGCTACAAAAACTGTAGCTGCTGACTTTTA